CGGCAGAAGTTACTCACCAGTTATGGAGAACATGTGGGGTGAAACCTATTGTAAACTCAGCATATCACCCCCAGTCCAATGGGCTCTGTGAACGTTTCAACGGAACATTAAAGCAAATGCTCCGTACGTTCATGGATACCCAGAAGGACTGGGAAAGGTTTCTTCCCCACCTGCTCTTCGCTTATCGAGAGGTACCCCAGGAGTCCACAGGGTTCTCGCCATTCGAATTACTATTCGGAAGGAGAGTGCGGGGTCCTTTGGACCTCATTAGGGAACACTGGGAAGGAACTGTCACCTGTAACGTTACCCCTATCGTCCCATATGTGCTAGAATTCAGGGAGCGCTTGGAGACCCTAATCCAGATGGTATGGTCCAATCTCCAGGCGGCCCAGCAACAACAGCGCAGATGGTACGATAGGGGAGCCAGGGACCGCAGTTTTCAAATAGGGCAAAAGGTGCTAATCTTGAAGCCGGTCCAAAATGACAAACTGCAGGCCTCATGGCAGGGCCCTTATAAGGTGGTTGAACAGGTATGTGACACCACTTATATAATTGCCCCATGTACGGGAGCGGGCGGTAAACGCATGCTCCACGTTAACATGTTGAAGCCATATCACGAGCGGCCCGAGGAAGTAACTGCCATATGTGCTTCGGCTGCCGAGGACCCAGACAACTTACCGCTACCTGACCTATTAGAACAAGGGGGGCCTGACACAGAATTAGGGGAAGTACAGCTAGGAGACAGGCTGAGTACTAGAGAGCGAGCTCAAATACTAGAGCTGATCAGAGAGAAAGGGGATACATTTTCCAATCAGCCCGGATATACCCCCCTGGCTACCCAGAAACCCCAGGGCAACACCCCCTTCGGCAAACCCCCTACCGCATACCCGAATCTGTGAAAGATCATATGCAGAAGGAGATTGACGAAATGCTGCAGCTAGGAGTGATAGAACACTCAGATAGCCCATGGGCCTCTCCGGTAGTGCTGGTGCCGAAGCGGGACGGAACCACCCGCTTCTGCATCGACTACCGGAAACTTAACGATAAAACGATTTCTGATGCCTACCCTATGCCTAGAATCGATGAGCTCCTAGATAAAATGGCCCGGGGCCAGTATCTCACCACAATAGACTTGTGCAAAGGATACTAGCAGATCCCACTAGCCGAGGATGCCATCCCAAAGTCCGCATTCCTCGCCCCGTTTGGGCTATACCAATTTAAGGTAATGCCATTCGGGATGAAGAACGCGCCGGCTACCTTTCAGCGGATGGTAGATCGGCTACTGGATGGATCCCAGGAGTACGCTTGCGCTTATTTAGATAATATAGCGATCTTTAGCAACTCCTGGGACGAGCATTTAACTCATATAGGAGCCATCCTCGACCGCATTAGGGAGGCAGGTCTCACGTTAAAACCCAGCAAGTGCCATGTAGGGATGGCGGAAGTGCAGTACTTGGGCCACCCGGTAGGCAGTGGGCAGCAAAAGCCAGAACCTGCTAAGATAGAGGCCGTAGCTAAGTGGCCGACCCCTCGCACAAAAACCCAGGTTTTAGCTTTTTTAGGGACCGCCGGTTATTACCGTAAATTTGTGCCCAGTTATAGCGCCCTAGCCAAGCCCTTTACTGATCTCACCAAGAAGAACCTGCCCAAAGTAGTGACCTGGAGCCCAGAGTGTGAGAAGGCATTCCAAGAACTGAAAACTGCCCTAATTCATGCACCTGTACTTGCCGCTCTCGATCCAACTAAACGCTTTCTCGTTCATACAGACGCTTCTATGTTTGGATTGGGAGCAGTGCTGAGCCAGGTCGGGGCCGATGGCGGCGAACATCCAGTCGCTTACTTAAGTAGGAAACTACTACCCAGGGAAGTAAGCTATGCCGCCATCGAGAAGGAATGCCTGGCGGTAGTGGGGGCCCTTAAGAAACTCCAGCCCTACTTATATGGACAACAATTTGCCTTGCTCACAGATCACAACCCGTTGGTGTGGCTAAACCAGGTGTCAGGGGACAATGCTAGACTGCTGAGATGGAGCTTGGCGCTGCAGCCCTTTGATTTCACCATCCAGTACCGCCCGGGAAAACAAAATGGTAATGCCGACAGGTTGTCCTGACAGACAGAACTGGAAAAATGATCTGTGAGCACTCTCCCGGACATCCCCAAGCCGATCCGTTGGGATCAGACTGTGTATGCCGGCTTGGTTCTGGGGGAGCAGTGTGGCAAACCCTGTCACTTGGACTAATTATTCTGTGTGAATAGGTGTATTTCACCAAGGGAATAACCACACGAATTGACTTTCATGGTACTGTAATGTTTTTATTCGAATGTCTGAAACTACCGAACGGGAGACCACCCCGGGGTGGTCGTGTGTTTCCCATTAACAGAGTGATACATTGTTGCGAAGGGAATTAAGTACCTGTATGTGTGGCCGTCATTTCGCCTACCGAACACGTGGAGGCGGCCATCTTACGCACGAACAGCGGTACTTGGTTGTCGAACGCCTGGAACTCAAACCGGGCATTCGACTAACCAAGCACCGCTAAGACCTCCAGCATGCTCCGACAATACGAATCTAACACACGAACGCCCCGGCATTCGGTAGATAGATTCCCCTAAACGAGGGGAATCATACGAATGGTAGCAATCGCATGGATGGCTAACCGTTCGGTATTTGTGGTTCACTGAAATAGACCGACCGCAGGGCCAGAATGCATGGAACTGTTTTCGGCTACTGAGTCCCTGCGGTCGGTCAAATCTTTAACAGTCTGTAACTCCCGAACCCCTGGTCCGATCTGGCTGAATTTCAAGTATGTTGCTCACCCAGATCAGACCTACCAGGGGACCCCTTATTTGTCCCTATACCCCATGTATTTAGGGGACATCCAGAAAGTGGGGAAAACTCTGTCCCCACTAATCTGTTTAACTGTAAATCTAAGGGGAGGAGAGTGAGGGGAAGTGACCGGGTTACAATTGGTTACTGTACAAATTATGAAAGTTACCTCCCTTGCATGGGAGAAATGCATAAAAGCAGACCTGTGATTAAAGCTATCAGTTGACTCCCAGACTATGTGTCGTCTAGTCCTTGGGGAGGTGGATTATGCTGTGTTCCTGTGACTTTGTATGCTGAATCTTTGTTCCCAGCGGAGAGCCCTTGGATTAACCCCTGCTCCTCCACTACACAGCGATTCACATGCAGACTTGTAGCTCTTATCTACCAAACACTTTGCAGAATTCTAATAGGTAATTCTATATAGTCCAGGTATAGGAAACTCTTAAGTTCTAACAACAAATATAATACAAGGTGAGGTATGGGACAGCCTCAGGGGTTCAGCTACAATGACGTCACGTGCAACGCACATTGCGTCTGACATCATCACGCACGTAGCTGCCGATCCAGGAAGTGACTGGAGGCATTAAATTGGCCAGGGCTATGGAAATTTACCACACATCCGATCTTGTTTGTGTATCTGATTACTTGGGAGCGGCACTTTGGGTCATGTAAGCACCTTGTTTGTGTATATACTGTCTGTATCTTATGTTTACTGTAGGACATTAGCATTGAGAAAGGGCTTTCATCCGAAACGTTTGCTGTTTGTACTTTGTCCTCAAATAAACTGTGGTAGCACTTGGGTGTGCACACTTATACTGGATGCGCAGGACTCCTTTTCCTTTATTGTTTATGACGAGATGCTGATTGAAGCAGTGTTTTGCTGCGAATGCGCAATAGCCTCCCAATGTTTTCCTATGAGAAAGCATTGGATTGGCGGAGGTCATTAAGATTGAAAATCTCAGCTATGGAGATGGAGCCAGCCGCGGCGAGACCAGTGCAGCATCGGAGAAAAGGTGGGTAAGATAAACATTCCCCTGCAATCAGTGGGGGCCAGACGCCTAAGTAGTTAGTTTAACACTATAGTTTCCTGTCGTGATAGTTTCGTGCATCAGGCATCGCAAGACAGTTGTCGAGTTCGGCACATGCCTCAGAGTACATAATTGGCCCGTTTCCTGTCAGATCAAGCACCAGGAGATGGAGAAGGTCCCCAGGAAGAAAGTGGTGGTGGCGATGAGGGACAGCTTCAGGTAATTATAACTACCTTCCAATGTATCCTGCAGTCACCATAGACTCAGCAGATAAGTCACTTCAGGAGGTCTTTGCAAAATATAGTTTTAATGCATTTTAAGTAAAACACTGATGGGTTTAATAAAAGGAAAATTAAAAAAGAATGTAGTGTTAGATGGAGCAAGATACTGTTTTAATACGTGTACATATTTGTAAATGTTAAACATATTTAATGTATTTATTGTTGTATTATTTCTTCCATCTGCATGCCAAAAGTAAAAGCGTATGTAACTCCACCATGTTACCACTAGGTAGTGATGTAGTATAACTAAATCAGCAAGTGCATTCATTCATGTTCTAGAACTTGAAACAAACTATATTAAGAAACATTACAAAAGTAAAAGGCGACAATCCTTAGAATGGTTCCCAGTGATCGGCTGTGCCCCAATTCAGTAGATGGTCACAGTGATCACAATTATCAAATTATAACAAATTTCAACCTTGACACAAATAGTCTTAAAAATCTGCAGAATCTCGTTTCTCTGCCTGATCAAATTATATACTGTTTATATACAGAAATGCAGGGTGTAGGGAAACTACAAATATTGCCAGTTCACTACTGTGTCTGTCAGTGGCGTGCTAACGTGCGGCATGTGTAAAGCAATATGGGGTTATGTTTGAAAGTCACTTTCACTTTTAATGCATTTTTATGGAGGTTTTCTTGTTTAAGCCTATTATTCACTTTAGTTACATTATACCTTATTGCGCCACTTGCAACATTTTATTTTCCCGTTCCATCTTGGTTTTATATTTTGGTTTAATAATGTGTCAGCCCCAGTGTGTAAAAAATAAATAAATAAATAAATAAAAAGATGTGTAAAAGTGAACCTTTTTCTTTCCGACAGAACCTTCTCTCAGTGCCAGCCATAGTGGTGGGTTTTCTGTACCAGGTAAGCAGCTTTCACATTCTTCCTTCAAACGGAAAATGCAGAAAAAGAGGGTAAAAATATAAGGAGCTATGCTAGAAGAGCACAAAGATTACCCAAGCCCCACACTGGACCCCAGGGAGAGGACAAACATCAGCTATCCCAAAGGTAGGGAGGCTGGCTGGGCTTAAATAAAAATAAAAAATAAAAATGATAAATAAAATTAAGTTGTGAGTGTGTGTGTGTGTGAGAATCAGGGCCGGCACCACCTATAGGCGAAGTAGGCGCTGGCTTAGGGCGCACATTCAGAAAGGGTGCCCCGCGCACACCTTTTCACGTGGCGCTTGTAAAAGTACTGCGGCAGCAGTGTCAGCGCGTGGCCCAACGGAGAGAGGCGTGGGCACCAGGAGCGCCTACAATTTGCTGCGCAGCGCCCAGATTCCCCTCCCTGACCCAAAGTAAGCCTCAGGGATGGGGGAGAAACATTTTTTTTTAATTTTTTTTTAAACCTTGTGTGTCTGTCAACGCCAAACATTCAAGGGAATGTAAACTTTTGATCTGGGCCATTTGGGTGATTTCTGTTATCATTATGATTATAAAAGGAGCCAAACATCTATGTGATAATAAATGGCTTCATATGATCATTATCCTTCAGTAAAATATTGTTGTTTTTTTTTGCATGATCAGTCTTATTTTCAAAATCAATGCCAAAATTTCACGATTTCTGCCAGGGTATGCAAACTTTTGAGCCCAACTGTATGTGTTTTGTTCCATGGTTCTACTTTATTCTAACCATGCACTTAAGATAAAGTTGAGTGATATAGAAGCGTGGTCACTCACAAATACCATTGTGTTTTGTATTTATTTCTGGTATACTATGAGTATATACTCTACATTTTGTGCGTGTTATTATCTTTCTGTAACATTGACTAACTAAATAAACTAAAATGTAACTAAATAAAAATTGAGCTAGATAACAGTGTCACCTAGACTGTCAATATAAATAATAACATAATAATAATAATAATAATAATAATAATAATAATAATAATAATAACATATGTATATCTAAATATCTAAATTTATGATAAAAAACATAAAGGGACAAGTGAGCAAAGAGTAAGCTGACACAGATAAAGGGGTACGCTTGGCACCAAAACAACTGTAAAGGAACACTCTAAACACTACGAGCACTATAACACGCAAAACTGTTACTTAAGAGGTTACCCCAAGCACCATGACCACTCATTTATTTGAGGGAGAGTGGATTTGCTCCCAAAATAGGGACTGTTCCTCCTAAATAGGGACACTTAGGAGGTATGATGTTTGGCAATGCTAGTCAGACGTTGTTTTTTTTAGCTACCTCAAGTGATCGTTGCCCTTCATGATGCCTTGCCCTACTATGTTGAATTTGAATATGTCATTTGGTGAGGGCAAAAGGGGGAGGGCTTTTGGCACAAATGGGACTCGTAGAATTGACAGGTGAGCCTGGGGTAAATACATGACCAATCAAGTAGGTCGGCTAACTAAGGACACCTACTTGATTGGTCGTGTTTCAGTGCTCTTTGCAGGGTCCTAATGCCATGAGCATATCGCAGGCAAATATAATGATACGTTCGCACTATGCTTGTTAGGGACAGTATCCAGCCGACATCACGCCGATGGTTGACCTAATGCGCATTTGTTCTCCATAGGAAAATATTTAATGTAATAATTTTCTAGACGGATTTTGAAGATGTACTCATAGAAAGTGTGAAGACGTCCAGCATCATTTTAACACTGTACAAATCCAGGAAGCACCTCAAATGGTTGTCTGGGAGACAGCTACTAGAGGTTCTCTTAACCCTGCAATCTGAAACTGCAATGTTAGAGGGACAGGGTTAAAAGGACAGTGGAACTTCACCAGACCATTTCAATGAGTTTAAGTGGTCTTGGTGCTAATAATGTTAATTTAAGCTCATTGAAGTTTTACAAACTTCTAATCCCAAAGTTGAGGCTCTGCGCCCGACACTGCCACTACCCAACTTCCTTCCTCTCTGCCACTGCAGTATGAAGATGGTTTAGCTGGGTGGCTGGTGATGGCCTGGGAATGCCATGTGATGCTATCGCTTAAAATCACTGGCCGCTCATACTGTTTCCCTTGGGTATTGGGTGCTGGATGGGCACCAGGACACATGCCTCTTCCTTTAATTGTCACTAGTTCTATCTCTTTGTCACTGTAAATATAATTTAGATACATACAGTTGCAAGAAAAAGTATGTGAACCCTTTGGAATGATATGGATTTCTGCACAAATTGGTCATAAAATGTGATCTGATCATCATCTAAGTCACAACAATAGACAATCACAGTCTGCTTAAACTAATAAAACACAAAGAATGAAATGTTGCCATGTTTTTACTAAACACACCATGTAAACATTCACAGTGCAGGTGGAAAAAGTATGTGAACCCTTGGATTTAATAACTGGTTGGGGGGCGGGGCCTGACCGCTGAACTGTGAGGAAGTATGCCTCACCAGCTCCTGCAACTTAGGGCAAACAAAGCCGAATTAAGACTCCAAAGAGGCACTAAAATGACCCCTCACGGCCACCAAGCGACAGTCGACACTGGGGCGCACAAACAGACACCACACAAGCGACGATGTCCCTCAGATGCACCCAGACTCATGATGGGGCCTACCAGCCTGGCGGGTGCAGAGAGGACGACCGCTTTCCTGCTGCCTGTACCAGCCAAGTGCTGGCCCCAGGGCCCTTGCCCGTCCCCCCCCTCTGGACCGGCGGGGGTCATCCCGGTCCAATCCCTCACGGTTCCCTTGAAAGGAGATGAGCGGACGAAACAACAGCGCGGTGTGGAGGCTGCGGACAAGGCCGACAAAATGCCAGACGGCAAACATGCCTCAGCCCTTCACGAGGCCAGACGAGACACAGAGCGCCGGCTCTCCCGCATCTTTGACTCCTTTTGGGAGCAACTGGGAAACTAGCGTGGCCTCTGGAGCCTGAGAACAAGCCGGAGAGCAAGTCACGAGAACCCGCACAAAAGACCCCGGAGGTGGCACCAGCATATACCGCCGGCTACCCTCCCGGGCCCTATAGAGAGACCGCCCTACTAACGGAGACCCGACGCCTCACTAAGAGCGACTACAGCCGTACCAAGACAAACCGAACTGGAGGCACTGCAGTAAGACGGCGGCACAAAACCCAGCCTCACCGCCCAGCCATGAAACAGCCTAAGAAAGGTACAGACCACTCCACTCACGCCAAAAAAAGCAGACCACTGTGCTCACCAGGGGGGCCGCGATAACACGACGCCCAGGGTACAGATATAGCCAACAAACAAGCAGATGGACAAGGCCCAATATCGGAGCCACATCATACCTATCACTGCAGATGCTGGCCCACGCTCAGACACTCTACCCATACATCGCTGAACAGAGGGGACCGCAGATCAAAGCACAGCCGCGACAGACAGCACAGGGGGAGCACACCCAGCCCCTACAAGGCATCGGATGAACCACACAGCACTGGGACTTAATGTCTAGAAAAGAACTCATCCCCTCCTTCATTTTTATTTCGTTTTACAAATCCTCCATGACCCAGATGAACCCCCACAACTGTCTGTATGCCACTAACACTTTTCACTCCTCCTGACAGCTCCATTAGGGGACCAAAGAGAGGTATTCCTCGAGATCAAGCGACCACACATTAAGCATGAATATGTATAGACCAACTCAAACCCACACAGGTTTCTATGACTATTCAACACACAAATGTTTGCATTTCTGGACACACTTTTGGAAATAGCACTGCATAGTTATATCACCAGATTAGGATATTTACATGCTTAGTTTTTTTTTTAGTATTTACGTTTTTATTTTTCAATAAAGTATTGGGATGTGGGGTACAGAAGAGAAAAAAGGAGGGGAGGGGGGTGGGGTATATCACAAAGTCGTTCAATATTTCACACAACTGGTTACACGTTACATACAACATGTTGGTGATTCTCAAATACAGTCTATGGTGACAACTAGAAAAAGTGGGACTTTGGCCCCGGGGGGTGTAAGGGAAGGGTTAATAACCGGGAGTATTAACACATCTTGTCAAACTTTGTTGAAATATACCGTATGGGGTGTCACTTAAGCGTGTGTTGTCAGTGTGTGTCATCTACCTTGGAGAAAGTTCGAGCCTGTTTGTACGGCTGTGAGTCCCTATATACCCATGTCAGAGCGAAGCTCTCGTTCAGAGTTGGCAGCTAGTTGTTGCGGATAGGAAGAGGTTGCGCTGTTCTAGATATTGACCTATGATGTTCTAAGAGGGGCTTGGGCTATGCAATCTTGGGTAGGTTGCGCCATATGCTGTTGGTTTGTGTATATATTAGCCCATGGTGCCCAGGTTTCTCGTAGTACCTGTGATTGTCTGGGGGTGGTTGTGGCCATACGTTCATACGTATAGTATAGTTGGATTTTATCTAACAATTGTTGCCTAGAAGGGCAGGTGTTTTGTTTCCAGTTAGTCGCAATAAGGTTCCTGGCCGCCATTATGGTAAGTATTGTTACCTGTTTTAGTGGTTTGGGTAGGGGAGCGGGGAACAATAGGAATAAGCAAACTGATGGGGTGAGGGCAATGTTCTCAACATTGAGAGATTTGAGGACGCTGCTCACATGTCGCCAAAGCGGGGTCAGTACAGGGCATTCCCACCAAATGTGTATCATTGTGCCTTCTGCGTTTTCACATCTCCAGCATTGTGCTGTGACTGTGGGGTAGATTTTATGTAACCTACTGGGTGTTAGGTACCACCTGAAGATCAATTTTTTGTGAGCTTCTACGTGGGAGTAGCAGTTGGTGACCCCTTTAAGTGCATTAAGAGAATGCAACCATGCATCTCCCGATGGGGAAGAGGCATGTTCTGCTCGCCATTGTTTTTCATAAGGAAAGGGTGCGGTGGTGGTGTTACATAGTAGTGAAGCGTAGCATAGAGATAGAGACTTAGGCTTGGTGGGCGCTTGCCAACATCTGTCATGTATGGTGTTTAGAAGGTGGTGGTCATAGGGTGCAACATCTGCTTGTGTGAGGATTTTATGGGCCGCAATACTTTTGAGTTGGAGATATTGAAAAACAGAGGAGTTCGATAGTCCATATTTCTTTTGGAGGTCTGGGAAGGGCATGAGCTGTTGGCCATGGTAAGTGTCTGCTATGTGTGTGATACCTTGTTTCTTCCAAGAGGTCCACGTCAATCCTGGGGCCAGGGAGCTTAGGGCCGCTAGTGGGGCTCTCGGGTGAAATTTGTTAGCTGTGATCTTAGAGTGATGAAGGGTGTCCCATTGGTGCAGCGTGAGGACTGAGGTGTGGAACAGGTGGGGTGTGCGTGGTCGGAAATGCGGGGGCGTCCATAGAATAGGTATCAGGGAACCACCAGGTGCGGTGGCGTGCTCCATATCTACCCATTGGAAGGTTCCTTTTGCGGCGTGGAGTTTGATTGCCGCTTCTAGGAGTGATGCTCTGTGGTATTTAGCTACATCTGGGAGGCCTAGGCCTCCGCGTTGTGGGGTTTGCTGGAGGAGTGAAAGAGCTAGTCGTGGTCTGCGTGCTTCCCACACAAAGGAGGAAATTATGGCCTGGAGGTGTTTGTAGAATCGTGGGCTAGCATAGATAGGTAACATTCTGAATTTGTATAATAGCTTAGGAAGTAGCATCATCTTAACTGAATTTATCCTACCTAGCCAGGAGAGCTTCACATTTTTCCATTGGTGGGTGTGTGTTGTGCAGAGTGATATCAAAGGTTTAAAGTTTAGGTCGAACATTGTAGAGGGGGACGACCCGAGTTTTACCCCTAGGTAAGTAATATCATTAGATCTCCAGTCGAAGGGGAAGGCTTGTTTGAGTTGTGACTGTAATGCATTCGGGAGATTGATTGGGAGGGCTTGTGTTTTGCTCTGATTAAGTTTGTAGTATGATAGTTGTCCAAATTGTTGTAGTAGTTGTAGTAGTGCAGGTACTGATTTTTCGGGTTTTTCTACAGTGAGCAGAATATCATCCGCAAAAATAGAGAGACAGTACGTGTGGTTCTTTATGGGAATACCTGTAATTGAGTCGTGGCGCCTGATTTTAGATGCTAAGGGTTCTAGCGATAGGATAAAGAGTAGCGGTGACAAGGGACAACCCTGTCTGGTGCCATTGGTGATACAGAAGGATTTGGATAGGAAGCCAGAGTTGGATACCTTTGCCTGTGGATCATTGTAAAGGGCCATAATGCCAGTGATGAGGCTTTCTGGGAAACCAAATTTGCTTAGGACTTGTTGCATGTATATCCAATTGACCCTATCAAAGGCTTTTTCGGCATCGAGGGCTAAGATTAGGCCCTTCGTTTGGGACTTGTGCATATGTGATAGTATATTTAGAACTTTTCGCGTGTTGTCAGAGCCTTGCCTACCTTTGATGAACCCAGACTGGTCGTTGTGGATAAGTGTGGGTAGAATTCGGGATAGCCTATTAGCCAGGAGTTTGGCGTACATTTTGACATCAGCATTAATAAGGGAGATTGGCCTAAAGTTCTGGCAATGTGTTGGCGGTTTACCTGGTTTGGGGAGTGTCGAAATATGGGCTACTAGCATGTCTTTGGGTATTTGCCCTGAGGTGTAACAGGAGTTGAATAGGTTAGCCATGTGGGGTGCGAGAAGGTTGGCGTAGGTTTGGTAGTATAAATTGGAGAAACCATCAGGTCCTGGGGCCTTCTGTTTGGGGAGGTCGTGGATGATCTCTTCCACTTCACTCACTGTAAAGGGGGAGGTGAGAGTCGCGATATCATCATTTTGTAGTTTAGGGACATCTATAGTTTGTAGAAACTCTCTAATAGATTGAGGGGAGGGAGGCTTTGTTTGAGGGTCATCTTTAAGATTATATAGGGAACTATAGTAGGTTGCGAATTCGTTTACTATGTCTTGGGGGTTGGTTATTTTGCCACCTTTGGAATTCTGTATATGCGCTATCTTTGAGGTGTACGACCTAGTTTTGAGTTGCGTGGCTAGTAGGGCCCCCGCTTTGTTTCCAGTGGCAAAGAATCTATGTTTGTATCTCTGCAATAGGTAGGTGGTTTTCTCTAGTTCTAACTGTTGAAGATCTTTATGTAGTGCATTTAATTGCATGTGTGTGTCTTTAGATGGTCGTAATTTATTTTTGTGTGTGAGATCTGCGATGTCTTGTATGAGTTTTGTATATAGTAGTTTGCGTTGGTAACTAGCTATTCTAATAATCGTGCCTCTAATGACTGCCTTGTGTGCTTGCCATAATGTCTCTATACTTGTGTCTTCTAGTGCGTTTTCTCTGAAATATGTTTCTATGTCGCTCTGTATGTTGGCTGCTGTGTCTTGGTTTGCAAGCAAGGTGTCATTCAGTCTCCAGGTGCCTTTTCCTCTGGATGTATATTCTTCTTGGATGGTTAGTGTTATAGGGGCATGGTCTGACCATGTTATTAGGCCTATTTCTGCTGACTGAATTTTGTCTATATAATTAGTATGTAACAAGAATCTATCTATCCTAGTGTATGTATTGTGTACTGCAGAGTGGAATGTGTAGTCCCTATCTGTGGGGTGAAATATCCACCATGGGTCTATAAAGTCGTGTGAGCGGATGATGTGGGCTATCTTAGAGGTGAGGGTTGTTAATTGTTTGGTCGATTTCGCAGGGGTTAAATGGCATGCTGATGTGTCTATGGAGGCATTCAGCAGGAAGTTGGTGTCGCCTCCAATTATGGTATCACCGAAACTGTACAATGAGAGTAAGCTAAATATTTTAGTTATAAACTCATGTTGGTTGTCATTTGGTCCATAAATATTGACCAATGTATATGGGCTGTTATTAATATAACATTGAATGATTAGGTATCTGCCATGTTTGTCGCCAATTTTTTTCACTAGGGTGAAGGATACATCCTTGCTTATGAGAGTGGTTACTCCTCTTTTTTTTGATTTGTAGCATGAGTGAAAGTCATGGGGGTAGAGGGCGGAATTGAATTTGGGTCTATTCCCCCACTTAAAGTGGGTTTCCTGATAGAAAGCTATTTGGGCTTTCGATTTTTTGGCTTCTTCCAGCGCTAGTCTTCGTTTGTGGGGTGTGTTCAGACCTTTTACGTTTAGTGATACAATTGTGAGGGTCATTTTATAGGTTTTTGGAAGTCTGCTACGTAGGTCATTGAGCCATTTATTTTACTGTTTCCTTTCCCATCTAACTCATAGATGAGCATTACATTACGCTTAGTAGTTTGTGTGGTAGGGTTTGTTGGGTATGGCCATATTATGGTGTGGTGAAAATGGCCCCAGCTCGAGAAAGTGACTTTGTCTGTGCGGGTAGAGGCGTTGTGGGTTTTGATTGCATACAGCATCAGTGGTGTGCGTTTGTGGAGCGTCATGGGTAGGTGGTAGGTTGTGGTAGGGTGTGACACTTGTGACACAGTGTAAACATACCAAGACATAGACATGATGAACGATATAACATTTTGAACTATATACAGAGTGCCGTTGAGGGTGGTACTGAGAGGTACTAACGGCATAGTGGAGGCCATTATTGGCCTGGTATGGGTCTTAGTGGTGACCTGCGTGAGACTCTAAGTGCGGGTGTAGCGATTCTGTGTAACGTGAATAAATCTCTTGTGTACGCTACCCTTGAGTGGTCCTGGGAGAATGCCCAGTCATGTGTTAGTGAAATGTTGTCCCTAACTAGTTACGGTAGAATAGAGGTGTAACTTAGGTCGGGTTACACTTGGAGTAACCCATGTGTATATGTTTGGCAACAAGCCGGACTAACTGGTCATGCATTGTGCTGCAAAGTCACTTAGCTGTATTCCAGTCTCTGGATATTTGCGCAGGAGAGCGTCTCGGTGGATTTTGCACCTCGTCGTTGGGTGGTGTCGGTTGGGGTATATTCCATTCCTTGAGCATGCGGAGGCCTTCTTCCACTGTGAGGATGTGCTTTTCGACGCCATTCCGTCTAAGCATGAGCCGGGCTGGAAAACCCCATCTGTAGACAATATTAGCATTTCGTAACGCTGTGGTGATGGGCGCCAATGATTTCCTTTTGAGGAGGGTTGCCGCAGATAGATCCGTGAAAATCTTTATCTTCGCATATTTGCCTGGCAGTTCAGGAAGGAGTCTTGAGGCCCTCATGATTTTGTCCTTGGACGTGAAATAGTGAAATTTAGCGATAGTGTCGCGTGGTAGGGACGTCGGTAGGTTTTTGGGCCTTGGCAGGCGATGGATCCTGTCCAGGAGGAGTTCAGGTGGTGACAGTTCTGGGGACAGAGCTTGAAAGAGGTCTGTTGGAAAGTTTGACAGGTCTTGTGGGGGTACGTCTTCAGGTATGCCTCTTATGCGCACGTTGCTCCTCCTGTCCCTGTCCTCATGGTCAGTTATTTTGTCCGTTAAGAAATCTAGTTTGGCGGTAATGTCGGTGTATGCATCAGCCAATGTGTTGTGTGCGCTTATGATTTCGTCTGTCTTGTCTTCCAAGTGTGCAGTTCGCTCATCTATTGCGTGGATGTCGGCTTTGATGTCTCTAGCCAATTTAGTGAACTCCATTTGCATGGAACTTTTGAGTTCTGCCAGCATCTTTTGAATGGAGGAGTTAGTTGCTGGTACAGCAGCATGTGTGGAGATAGATGTGTTGTCACTGCCATCAGAGCAGGACGCCGGCGAGGGCGGGTTGTCGGCGCCATCTTGGATTTTTCTGCTCGGCGAGGTACGCGCTGAAATTAGTAGGTCTGCCGGTTTTTGCTTGGGTTTCTTTGTTGCACGGTGTGCCATGATCTCTAGCAACCCAAGGGAGCTTGTGTTTGCGGTTTTAGGCGCTGTTATAATCGCTGTGTGCCGTCTCATGGGCAGGAGCTCGCGGCTTACACGTCCGTCTTGGTTCGTCGCGTGGCCACGCCCCCCTACATGCTTAGTTTTAATAGTTTTGATTTAACCTAAGCCTAGGTTGGTAGCATGTATACTACTGTTCTCCTATGTGGTAGTTTTAAGGTATTCTGTCCTAGCTAATTGTGAACCCTGAACAACACCACTCTCATTAATACTATATACCGAATGACTGTAAGGCTAGCTCCACAGGAGGGTAATATCTATGTTTAGCAAAACCCCTCCTGATGTTGTTGCCTCTATTAGTTGTAAAACATCTTAGTTCAGTCACCACTGTCATCTAGCAAGTGTTAACCTAGTTTAAGCAAAAGAACCAATTGAATACCTGCTATAGCTCTAATCACTTGATGGATCATACCCTCGCTGCCACCTACAGTTCTAGGATCCAGCTATAGTAACCCTATATATGTTTCACTCTACTAGAATTGTATTTATGAAGCCTGTAATACAAGAATCAATTAATGCACAGTGTAACAAGATGCCTGAAATGCCTTGAAATTCCATATACATACAAACACTAGTAGTTTAACCTGCATTGTTATCTCACGTAATATATAAAAAGAGGATGTTCCATGCTGGTGTTTAAATACCTTGTATATCATTTGTTAATATGCTCTAATTCCCTGTTTACTTGCCTAATATTGAATACCTGAATTGCACAAGTTGATACTAAACCACCACACACACTAACCAAGCCTGCGTACAAAGCAACTTACACTAAAGTCGATGTTCTAACGTTAGCAATTTTATGTTTATATTAAGATAATACCTAAGAACATCTTAGAAACAGGCATCAAAACCCCGCTTAGCGTAGCACACAAGGAAGCATTTTATAAAAGGGCCACCCGATGGTACAGAACCCCAGATAAGTTGCACTCAATCTGGCCGTCCATCAGCGGCTCGTGTTGGAGATGCTCCAATGGCCGCGGCGACATGGAACACATATGGTGGAGCTGCAGAGATATCCAGGGATTCTGGTCTCTCATACTCTCAACCATCACAGAAATACTAAAACCACCATCACACCTATCCCCATCACAGATTCTACTAGGTTGGCCCCACACATTCCCAGAGCCCCATAAACAACAATTACTACAACTCCTACTAGGGGAAGCCAATGCTCTTATCCCCCTATATTGGCGGACCACCACCACACCTACCAAAGAACAGTGGATACAGAGGGTAGATCACACAAGAGGCATGGAAGATATACACTGGTCAATGTTGGGGAAAAGACACATACATCTCCAAAGATGGAGCCCCTGGACGGAATTCTGGGAGAAACCCTTGGGAGTGCAGGGAACTTAGATGCCCTTAGAGTAACGCACCGAAGACCCAGGCATGTTGGCGACCTAAAGTCCCAATTTGAGTCACCTTGGTAGACACCGCTCAAGGCACACTCACTACTATATTAAGTTGATGTAAGAGGCAGGACACCCCTAGCCCCTACCCCTTCCCCTGTTTCATGTTCTCACCCGCGGCCCGTTGCCGAACTTAGTTGCATACAGACCCTTCCGACGACCTATAACAGAGAGTGCCCCGTATCCGATTAAATAATACAGGAATATACATATTATTAAAACCGCCCCAGGAACGATGCAGACATCACACCACGGAACAAAATGATATGTGTAATAGCACGAACTGTTAGATGACCTTATTATGTATGCATTGAATGTCACCTATTTCTTTTTTCTGTATCCCATACACGTTTACTTTCGGAAATAAAGAAAAAGTGAAATAAAAAAATAAAAAAAAAGATAATACCTAAGCAACATAAATCCATACTGTTTATAGCCTAAACAAAAAAAAAATGTGCTTGTTCTATCATGTACCTCTATGTTTAACTGTTTTCATGCGCTAGAGGATTGCCTTTGGGGTACCTCACATGCGAATGTTATAAACTTCCGCACGACAAAAATAAAGAATAAAAAAAAAAAATAACTGGTTGAACCTCCTTTGGCAGCAATAACTTCAACCAAACGTTTCCTGTAGCTGCAGATCAGACGTGCACAACGGTCAGGAGTAATTCTTGACCATTCCTCTTTACAGAACTGTTTCAGTTCAGCAATATTCTTGGGATGTCTGGTGTGAATCGCTTTCTTGAGGTCATGCCACAGCATCTCAATCGGGTTGAGGTCAGGACTCTGACTGGGCCACTTCAGAAGGCGTATTTTCTTCTGTTTAAGCCATTCTGTTGTTGATTTACTTCTATGCTTTGGGTCATTGTCCTGTTGCAACACCCATCTTCTGTTGAGCTTCAGCTGGTAGACAGATGGCCTTAAGTTCTCCTGCAAAATGTCTTGATAAACTTGGGAATTCATTTTTCCTTCGATGATAGCAATCTGTCCAGGCCCTGACGCAGCAAAGCAGCCCCAAACCATGATGCCCCCACCACCATACTTCACAGTTGGGATGAGGTTTTGATGTTGGTGTGCTGTGTCTTTTTTTCACCACACATAGTGTTGTGTGTTTCTTCCAAACAACTCAACTTTGGTTTCATCTGTCCACAGAATATTTTGCCAGTACTGCTGTGGAACATCCAGGTGCTCTTGTGCAAACTGTAAACGTGCAGCAATATTTTGTTTGGACAGCAGTGGCTTCCTCTGTGGTATCCTCCCATGAAATCCATTCTTGTTTAGTGTTTTACGTATTGTAGATTCGCTAACAGGGATGTTAGCATTTGCCAGTGACTTTTGTAAGTCTTTAGCTGACACTCTAGAATTCTTCTTCACCTCATTGAGCAGTCTGCGCTGTGCTCTTGCAGTCATCTTTACAGGACGGCCACTCCTAGGGAGTGTAGCAGCTGTGCTGAACTTTCTCCATTTATAGACAATTTGTCTTACCATGGACTGATGAACAGCAAGGCTTTTGGAGATACTTTTATAACCCTTTCCAGCTTTATACAAGTCAACAATTCTTAATCGTAGGTCTTCTGAGAGCTCTTTTGTGCGAGGCATCATTCACATCAGGCAATGCTTCTTGTGAAAAGCAAACCCAGAACTGGTATGTGTTTTTTATAGGGCAGGGCAGCTGTAACCAACACCTCCAATCTCATCTCATTGATTGGACTCCAGTTGGCTGACATCTCACTCCAATTAGCTCTTGGAGATGTCATTAGTCTAGGGATTCACATACTTTTCCCACCTGCACTGTGAATGTTTACATGGTGTGTTCAATAAAAACATGGCAACATTTCATTCTTTGTGTGTTATTAGTTTAAGCAGACTGTGATTGTCTATTGTTGTGACTTAGATGATGATCAGATAACATTTTATGACCAATTTGTGTTGAAATCCATATCATTCCAAAGGGTTCACATACTTTTTCTTGCAACTGTATTTACAGAACATTTTACAAGCAATTTAGTATCAAAATAAGAACAAATACTTTGCTAGATGCAGAAAACATCCAAACATCCAGCTAATACTAAACATTTTTATTTTCTCACTCTTGTCTTTGGCTAGCTGCAAACAAATGAAAATCTTGATCCTGGTAGATCTGTACATTTCATGAGAATAATTATCGCTGTTTCTTTGTATAATATACTTTTTCATGCAAGTGGCAATTACATGAAAGATTATTCTGTCTTTGAAGTTTTCAGGTTCAATCTGTCTGCGGTGTAGCGTTTCCTAAGCCTTGAAATGAGTAAAATTATGATCCTACTGAAACTTTGAAGATAAAAGTGAAAGCCTTTTCTACACGGGACAAAAGTTTGAAGTCACTTCATCTACATTCATTTTTTAACACCAGCGAGATATCTCTGCATGCCAGCTAGTTTAAATCCAGGTTAACAGTACTTGAGAAGGCTGAGAACCCCCAGCTACTCCAAATACTTTGAAACTCTGTGATCTATTTCAAATGAAGGAGAATGTCCTTGATAGGACTTTGAAGCATCATTAATTAGAGGAGACTTAATGATGTCACACAACAAATAGTAATGGCTTTAGGAGTTCCTTGGGATAAGCTGTGTCTGCTTTAAAATGTCACTGGAGAATGTTATTTAATGCAATTCTGACTTTTATTTTAGGATTCAATTAAAGGAACACTATAGTCACCTAAATTACCCTGCAATTTCACTGCTCAATTCACTGTCATTTAGGAGTTAAATCACTTTGTTTCTGTTTATGCAGCCCTAGTCACACCTCCCCTGGCTATGATTGACAGAGCCTGCATGAAAAAATAAAACTGGTTTCACTTTCAAACAGATGTAATTTACCTTAAATAATTGCATCTCAATCTCTAAATTGAACTTTAATCACATACGGGAGGCTCTTGCAGGGTCTAGCAAGCAATTAACATAGCAGGGGATAAGACAATCAGGGCCGGACTGGCCCACCGGGATACCGGGAAATTTCCCGGTGGGCCGCGGCACCTGGGGGGCCGGAGAGAGAGAGGGAGCCCTGCGCCCTAATATTTTAATAATATGGCGGCCGGCGGCCGCATGTCGGTGCCGCCGGGTGGCCGGTCCAGCGGCACACTCTGAGGTGAATACTCACCTTGCGGCCGGCGGCCCCATCTCCTGTGCTGACAGCTGTCAGTATCAGTGAGTGTGCCGGGCGGCCGCCTAAGCGTTCCGGCGGCACACTCACTGATACTGACAGCCGCAGCACAGGAGGACTGAGGGAGGGGGCGGAGCTAGCTATCATGCTCCCTCGCGGTTCCCAGAATTCCCAGCATGGACATATCATAGAGTAGTGATTACTCTATGATATGTCCATGCTGGGAATTATGGGAACCACGAGGGAGCATGATAGCTAGCTCCGCCCCCTCCCTCAGTCCTCCTGTAACAAGGTAAGCCGCACAGAAGGGGAAGAGTGTATCAAAATAGCCAAGACAAATAGAGGAAGAGAGGGAATGGGGAACAAATAGAGGAAGAAGAGGGGGAACAGAGGGAATGGGGAGACAAATAGAGGAAGGGGAGACAGAGGGAATGGGGACAAATAGAGAGGGGGACAAATAGGGGAATAGAAAAGGGAACAACAAAGGGGAGGAGGGAGACAAATAGAGGGAAGAGGGCAGACAAAGAGAGGGAATGGGGAGACATGGGGGACAGAGGGAAGGGAGACAAATAGGAGGGAATGGGGGACAAATAGAGGGAATGGGGGACAAATAGAGGGAAGGGGACAAATGGAGGGAGACAAATAGGGAAGGGGGGATAAATACAGGGGAATGGGGGGAGACAAATAGAGGGGAATGGGGGGACAAATAGAGGGGTAATAGAGAGACACCAGGGAAGGGGGGGACAAAGAGACAGAGGGGTAATAGGAGGTTGGGGGGACAAAGAGAGGGGTAATAGAGAGACACAGGAGAAGGGGGGACACAGAGACAGAGGGGTAAGAGAGAGACACAGGAAGGAGATGGGGAAGAGAGACACAGGGAGGAGTTGGGGAAGAGAGACACACGGAAGGTTTGTTGGGGGGACAAAGAGACATGCAGTAGGGAAGGGGAACAAAGTGACACAAGATTTGTGGGAGGCAACGCTGGGCTGGGGAAAAAGAGACAGAGAGTGACTGGGAGAAGAGAAAGAGGCACACAGAGTCTGGAGTTAGAAAGAGACACACAGATGAGATTTGGAAGGGGAGAAAGAGACAAAGTGGCTGGGGCTAAGAACAACACAAAAGGGGCTGGGGGAAAGAGAAATACAGAGGCTGGAGAAGGGTAAAAATAAACACACAGGGACTGGGATGAAGTAAAAGATGCACAAGGGTCGCTGTAAGAGAAAAAAAGGAGACAATTGGAGACAAGATACACTAAACGAGGTAAAGGTAATAGACGTAAATTGATGTGATCCTGACAGTAATACAAACATATATATATATATATATGCATGTATATTGATGTGTGTATTAGTAACATATAATTATGCCTATAATATTTACACATATAGTAATATACATTTATTTATGCATAATACACACATAAATGTCATTAAATATGTCATTATATATATATATATTTAATGAGCACGTATTGGCCCTGTCTTGTTGCTAGTTGCATACTCATGCACAATAACATATTCAAAGTGAAGAGCGCACCCATAGAACTTCAAAATAAACAAGATCACTTCATTTTTTAGTTGTGCAACTGCAGACATTCAGCATTTCAGTCCCATTACTAAAATGTCCTTAATAGGCCAAAGTAGTTGTACTGAAACATTACATGTAAATGTACGTCTACTTAAAATAAAGGCGCTCTTTTGTTTATTTTGAAGCCCTATATGCATTCCTTCGTTGGAGTAAGAGTTTTCAATTTCAAGTTATTTTTTCACCCTCTTTATCAGCACACTATGCTGGCGCGACGCATTATTGGGCTGGTATAGAATTTTTTTCCAGGGATTTTAGGTCCCAGTCCGGCCCTGAAGACAATCTTAATTAAACAGAACTTGCAATAAAGAAAGCCTAAATAGGGCTCTCTTTACAGGAAGTGTTTATGGAAGGCTCTGCAAGTCACATGCAGGGAGGTGTGACTAGGGTTCATAAACAAAGGGATTTAACTCCTAAATGGCAGAGGATTGAGCAGTGAGGCTGCAGGGGCATGTTCTATACACCAAAACTGCTTCATTAAGCTAAAGTTGTTCAGATGACAATAGTGTCCCTTTAAAGTGCTGTTGGTAACACTTCGGATAATATTTATTTAATACTAGTGTACAAAGTATTCTTATCTCCATCACATCAGTCTCTTGACTCCTTTTTCTGTACGGTTGAGACAAGTTGTCAGGATCCAAAATTCATCATTTAGATGACGAGGTTATATAACAAAGGAAGGATAACAAATCATTTCCTCTCATTAAGATGGAGTGATGGTAGAAACAAGAACTAATCGAGGTTCAGAAAGCCAGAGGGCAATGCAAATATAACGAAGGGTCAGTACAGGCAACATACAAACGGTCAGATTAGAGAGAGACTAGACAGACAGAGAATACAAGACACTCTCTATATATACATCGTTATAGTAGGAAAAACATGGGCACTCACAGGTATTAAGTATGCAAAGTAAAATTTGGATTTTATTCCATATCAACAGCAAACAAGCATGTTGGCGTTTCAGACCTCCTTCGGTCCTTTCTCAATATATTACTTATTGTATGCTTTGCAAAGTGCACAGATTACACTTGGGTGTCCATCATGTCTGTGAGTCATTGTGATCACTACAAAATGAATCAGCCTTTAACATGTGGTGTCAAACAGACAGGAGAGTGAGGATAATGATCGGATTCTCATATAACCATACAGTGCTCCCTAAGAGGCTATTCTTTAATGTGGGAACCACCGTATGTGATAAACATACATGGCATGAAGAGGTCTAATCAGCAATCGACCATCAACATCAGAGTCGGTAACCCATGTCCTTCCGGGTTAAATGAATGTATTGTAGAGAACCCATGGATACATGGAAATATACAATGGTCTGAGTTTTGTATTGTTGTAAAATGAAAGCTGATGATAAATTTAACCTAACCCCAAACTATCTCATTCTAAATTGTTGCCTTAAATGTTATACAAATAGTTTACGCTTAATAACATTGTAACCCTACATATAACTTTAAATCTTACAAATTAAAGGAAAACTAATTTAAAATGTATATGTTTATAAGTTTGGATTTATCGCCCCATTTTGTTTGCTTGTTTTTAATAATTAAAATCATTATTAAAGTTACCTTTATTAACGGAGCAAGATATTCTCCTCAATGCAGCCTGATCTATCTATAATGAAGCCATAATTCCTGATGACATTTGTCCAATCAATGCTTTTTATAGAGCAGTATTGCGAACACACAGTGCGCAATGCTGGAATCGGCCTATTCAATGTGTCTATATAGAAGACATCAGCAACGTTCACCATTATCATGCTGTGCGTGATGACACTGAAGTCCTATCGAAATGGAAGAATATGAAGGAAACAGCTGCTCTAGTCGTTAAGATTTTAGGAAGTTCAAACGAAAAAAGTAACTTATATGATATAATAAAATGTGTAATCGTAGAGAAACAGTAATTAATGATGATAATCAGTTCCTGACTGGTCATGGATCAAACCAAGCAAATACGTGGTGGGATATGATGGTTATGGGTCATACTGGTACTTGGAGTGGTCACTATTAAAGTGACATTCCACTGACCAAATAAAAATAAATAAATTACTATTTTGTAGATAAAAAATATGCATGCGTTATTTATGCATTTTTTCATTGAGGTATGTGTAAAAAAAAAGCTTGCAAAAGTTGCAGATCTCTTGTCTGCAGCCTTTGCGAGCCCTCCCTCCCCCCTTCTAACCCCGCCCATACTTTCTGTGGCTGTCCAATCACAGACTTCCCAATGCAGCTCAATGAGATGTCTTTGCAAGGCAGATGCTCTGGGCAATTGTTGCCTCTTGATTTTAACTCCACTGAGCTAAAAACAAACAAACAGGAAAAGTGATGAAAGCAACCAGAAATAATGTTACAATTTTTAATACCACGGTTACCAGTGGTGGATCCAGGATGGGAGCACAAGGACAAGTGCCCTTTTACCCGAGAAGCCATTGTGTGATTTGTTGACCAGGGAGGACCTTGACAAGTGTCTCCGTCAAGATTCCAGGGACATTTATTGTCTGACCATCAGCAACTGCTGACTAAAGGAGCATTCTCATTGAGTGGGGGGGCATTCTCATCCCTGGCATTTTGAGGGATCACCTGTCATGGCCCTCTTTACGAAACAAATCTTACTCTACCACAGATGTCCCTAGGGCAGATAGCCAGGAGCAATTGTGGAGGATTTGAGTCACCCTCACATGATCACAATAGCATTTTTTTGTGCTGCAAAAGAGAGACCCAGATTTGTAGAGTTCTGCGGAATGATTCCGCCCTCGTTCTTACTGGGTGTCTTGGTGTCTAACCCATCACATCCAAAGCTAGGGTGTGCAAGTGTTTACAAAACACAGATTAGGAAACAGTGCACACACACACACAAAAAAACAGTTTTTAAGTTTTACAAGGCTACTGTTAGATAGGTGATTTAAAGTAGTCTGTGTCTGTATGTAATGTTTATATATCTGTTTTTGGAAGTGTCTAGTATCATTGTATGCGTATATTGTATATGTGTGTACATGTAGTCATTAGTCACTGTATTCAGCTTTGTAGGTGTTAGTGAGCCTCATTCCTGAAGTTTTTTTTTTTTTTATTCTTTATTTTTTCGTGCATAGATAATACATTACTTATTAGCTCCCAATGTCGCAACAGCTATTGCCAGCGTTTCAATATACATAGAAAGACAATTGTTTGGCATGAATAACAGTGCACTTTTTTTTTTAAATAAGGAAGAGTAAACAGCAGTGTAATGCAAGTCATGACTTGTACTAAAGAGGCTAACTAAGCTTAGCAACAGACTATTCTTATAGAAATGTATGTAGATTAACTGAAGTTTTGCTGTAGAGTAAATAAGTGAATATCCCTGGGTAGACAAATGCACAATACAAAGACAATTAAACCTTAACTTTGATTGTGGTGTGTCACCTATGATTTTTGCATTGTTCAGCCTATGCCCTCCACTGAGTGCCTAATGGCCTTTTAAGATAGATTACAAGGGTCCTGCTCCGCGGCATCTCACCAGCTCCAATCTAGATGACAGTCCTTCTCTCCGGTCCCTCGCGTTGTTGCGTGACGAGACTGGTTTTCTGAGCCTGTTAGGAAGAATCCATTGCATGAGGTGAGTGAGAGTCATCCTGTGTACTGAGTGGCGTAGAAGGGTTCTTCCCTTAAGGAACTGGGTCCTTTGCGAGCTGCGGGTTTCAGCTGAACTGAGCCGTCTGCATCGGGTCTTTTTACGAGGCCTCCGCTTCGTCACCAGCCGCACTGTGTTAGGCTTTAGCCCGGCCTTTCTCAACTTCAGTCTGGGAGGGGTCGGATTGGAGTGGGGCTGCAGTGGCTGACTGTGTCGTCCTCTGTAGGGTTTTTTCCCAGTATTGTGCCCAAAAGTGCTCAAAGGCCTTGGCGATACCGAAGTCTTGCATGGCCCTGTTCATTGGAGTCTGTAGTGTTCTGGGCACCATGTTAGTGGCCATCTTGGCTCTCCACGGGAGCCTTCGGGTCTGGGCAAGGGAGGACTGGGATAACCCCCGCTTGTCTATAAGGGGGTGGGAGCATGTTCAGGCACCATAGTCGACCCGCAGGCCACAACCTTGCTCCGTCGTGGAGTTCCTGGCCATCAGCTGTACAGCTGCTTACGTTGTGTCTCCAGTCTGTTTACGGGTAACTTGTAGTAGCATTGTATGGTTTGTGGTGTTTTTTTGCTTGGAAAGTAGGCAGAATATGGGTCTCAGGCCTGGAGCTCAGGCAACATCCAACCATCCAGTTCAGCAGTCAGTCTCCACCCCCAGCCATCCAGGGTTTAGCCTGTAGATCTCTCACTGGCTTTTACTGGGTACATTCCTGCTGGATGTCGTGGCTATAAATATCACAAATAGCATCCATGATTCCATTCACTGAAATGTAATCAATTCAACATACTGACATTTTATAGAGGCATCCTAATGATCAGCTCAATATTGCAGTTGTTGTAGTTATAGTGGAAATAATCTGGGGTTATTTTCATGAGCTGTATGGAAGGCTCTTTACCTCACCATTAGACTGCACTTTATTCATAATGTGGTATTTACACTTGTACATAATCAATATCCATTCCATACGACACAAATGGCGATGAAGTTATCGGTGGGCTAACCAGAGAACTGTTTTAATTAGATATATTTAATTCAAGATATCGAACGGTGTTAATGAACATTTGATTCACTGACACATATACTCAGCTAGTGCGCGAACCTCAAACTTTGTGTAAAGAGCAATGGCTAGCTTCAAGGAGGAGATAAAGCACTTGCAGTGGAGCTTACTACAGAAGAGCCAGGTTTGCGATGGAGAAGACAATGGCAGACCCTGTATCTCGGAATTGGTGGGCTTGTTGACAATGGTCTTGTTTTGCATGGATGTGTGGTTTATGGGTGAATTTCTTTTGGTATGGAAGGTTGGACTTGCACTGAAGGGCTAGGACTGGGGTTGCCATAAAGAGATAGAGGCTTTCCACAGAGGGGATCATTATCACCTTGAGTGACATTGGAATTATTTTTTTATTCATATTCAAATTAAATAAATTCCATATTGTCTTTTGGAAGGTAGGGTGAGGCCGTATTGTCAGTCAGCACGTATAGCTGCTGTTCAGTAAATCAACAGCAGATTATCAGCTCATCGGAAGCAATCTGATAAGAGGGACTTGATTGTTTTTAGGGAGGGGGTTAGATCGATGGACAGGTGCTGACTGAGAGCCGCTAAGAGGTAGATTCCCAGCCATAGCAGAGCTGCAACTTCCTTGATCCCTATGGAGAGGAAATGCAGAGTGGCCACATGAGCTGAAGGGAAGCCCTATTTTGTAATGCAAACTATACAAAATGTGCAAATCTCTCATATGGCCATGTAATTTGCAAATATAAAAAGGGGATACTGATATATTAAGCTGGTCTAATGGGAAACAAAGGGGTTTTGTCACTAAACAACAAACTGTAGATGCCTGTAATTTAAATTACAAAATACAGGCAAAAAAATGCTGGGAATTTAGAAAAAAGCTGTGGTTGGAACCAGGTTATTTTATACTACACGGTGCAATTCCATTTTTCAAGTATTTGCCTTATAATGTCCAAAACTGATTAGTATCCCTGACAAACAAAGTTAAAATGGAATTTTATCTTTATTTGCACTTGCTGAGGAAAGACAAAACTATTTGCAAAAATATCTGTAACATTTTTGATGAATGTTATTCATATGCAGGGGCGTACCTCGAGATTTTGGTACCAGGGGTGGATCCTATATTTGTCCGTGCCTCCACCCCCCCAACTTTAAAATATAAAAAATACCTACAAAATATTTTAATGTATTCAGCACTCAGATACATAGACAGACAGGTGCACACTGACAGACAGATACACACACACACACGGCTACATAGACAGATACACACATACAAGCACACAGTCACAAACGGATACAAACACACACACATGCAGCTACACATACAGGTACAGACACATACAGATACACTGATAAACACACTTACAGATACACATAAAGATACACACATACAGATACACAGACACAGGTACACAGTGCGTATAGTGGATGCAAAGTGTGCATGTGTGTGTGGATGCCCTATGTGTAGTGGATGCAGTGTTTGTTTATGTAGTGGATGCAGTGTCTGTGTGTAGTGGATGCATTATATGTGTGTGTGTGTGTGTGTGTGTGTGTGTATATATATATACACCCTGTTCCAATATATTATGCAAATGATATTTTTCTCATTTACCTAAATAATTGATGTAAATAACAGTCAGCATAATTCTCATGTTATCAGCTATTAAGAGTACAATTCAAATTTTATTGAACAAACCTCCTAATTAAAACAGTATTTATTTTAAACATAAAAAACTTACAATGCACTGTTCCAAAGTATTACGCACAGTAAGTTTCAAAACTCTTTATAGGTTGTAAAGAACTGAAAATTGTCATTTGTTGTGTTTGCAGCATATATACTGATATCAAAAGCTATTTCAATCAAACTTATAACAACATTTTAACTTTTTTTAAACATTTTAACAGGTCACGTTACATTTTAACATAGGACCCCTTATTTGATAGCAGCTTCAGAAGTCTTGCAACCATTGAACTTGTGAGTTTTTGAACAGTTTCAGCTTGAATTTGTTTGCAAGATGTTAGAATAGCCTCCCAGAGCTGCTGTTTGGATGTAAACTGCCTCTCACCCTCATAGATCTTTTGCTTGAGGATGCTCCAAAGGTTCTCAATAGGATTGAGGTCAGGGGAGGATGGAGGCCACACCATTACTTTCTCTCCTTTTATCCCCATAGCAGCCATTGATGCAGATGTATTTTTTTGCAGCATGAGATGGTGCATTGTCATGCATGAAGATGATTTTATTACGGAAAGCATAGTTCTTCCTTCTGTACCAGGGAAGAAAGTGGTCAGTCAGAAACGCCACATACTTTGCAGAGGTCATCTTTACACCTTCGGGAATCCTAAAGGGGCTGACCAGCTCTCTTCCCATGATACCGGCCCAAAACATGACTCCACCACCGCCTTGCTGATGTCACATCCATCCATCTAGACCATCCAGGGTTGCACGGCACTCATCAGTGAACAGGACTGTTTGAAAATTAGTTGTGGCGGAACCAACCTCGCCACTATGCACTGGAGAAGCCTGGTTGCCAGCCTCCTGCCATGTGACTATGGCCCCTGGGATGTATTGCCCTTTAAAAACATGATTTGGGCATAATGGATTTGTGTTGTGCTGCTGATAGCCCTTTTAAGAACCATCTGGGGACATACTGTGGAGTTACTGGGTGGCCACCATTTCCTGTATCAGAAGCACATGGTGAGAACAATGGATGGACATTTTAACTCACAGACACTGTGTGGACTTTTCAACACGGTGCCATCTTGCCAGTATTTGTTGCACAGAGACATCGTGCGGTGGTTGTGGACTATACAGCAGGGGACACATTATTCAGTGATTGTTTTTTATTTAGCCTGTATATGTTCTGCAGAATCTGCATTAAACTGTATTTTCCAAAGTACTGAACAGATCTGGGTGAATTTTGGATATGTGGTTCACCCAGATCCCCCAGTTCCAATGATATACTTTTTATGGGGTTATTGCATGTTTTGGGGTCCCTGTGATGTGTTTTATGAAACTGTATTTCATACAGCCAGAGGGGAGGATTTTGTGTGGGAGTGTCTGGGTGTATTGTATGGATTGATTGGCTGTTTTGTAACGCCCTGTGGGCTGTACTATGTTTGTGGATTGGGAATAAAAGAGACTGTATGTGACAGTACAGGGAGTTCCTGTTTTTAACCCTCAAGTGTCGTCTCATTGTATTGTTCCAGTTTGATGCTAGGAGAGTAAACCTATTCGTATGGTTCCTATTCAACTGTCTACAGCATTCATATGCTTGGGAGAATTTATTTGTTTCTCCGGTTCGGTGATTGTGGTGTCTGCCAGAGTGCTTGGAGTCCTCAGGAAGCGCTAGGAGCATCCTTCAACTGAGGTACCCAGTCGGGGGTGCCAGGTGATCCGTTACATTAGTCTTCATGTATTTTTCTGCCCAATGCAGCCGTTTCTGCTTGTGAGCATTGGTTAGTGGTGGCCGAATAGAAGGTTTATGCACAGTTGCAAGACTCTGGAGGACTCTACACCTTGATGTCCATGGGACTCCAGAGGCACCAGCAGCTTCAAATATCTGTTTGCTGCTATGTAATGGTATTTTAGAAACTGCTCTCTTGATCTGATGCATGGATCTGGCAGAAATCTTCCTCAATGTGCCTTTATTTTCACGAACCCGTCTGTGCTCTGAATCAGCCACAAATCTCTTAATAGTGCGATGATCACGCTTAAGTTTTCGTGAAATATCTAATGTTTTCATACCTCGTCCAAGGCATTGAACTATTGCAGAGAGATCCTTTTTCTTCCCCATATTGCATGAAAATGGTGCTCTGATTAATAATGTGGAACACCTTCCTTTAGTAGTTTTTCCTTAAATTGGGCTCACCTGGCAATCTAATTATCACCGGTGTCCGAAATTGTTTTCAGTGATCAAAAGAGCCCTGAGTCACAATGCCATCCACGAGTTAAACTGAAAAACAAAATATTTAATCTTTGACACTTAAATAGAATTTGCATAATAATTTGGAACAGGGTGTATATGTGTGTGTGTGTTGTAGGAAAGAGACAAGGAGGGTGACAGTGGGAGGGCAGGGTGTAGAAGGGTGACAGTGTTAGGGGCAGGATTTGGGGGTGTCAGTGTGGGGGACAGGGTGTAGGAAGGTGACAGGGAGGTGTGGGGGATTAATTAACCCACCCTGCCTCTTACCTGAGGGTCAGGAAGAAGGGACATTACATTTGCATTGTGGTCCGGTGGCACAGCAACTTGTAGTCTGTAGAGGGGCCCAGGAGTCTCCATGTTGAACGTAAATCAGCAACAGCTCCTCTCCTCTTGTGACCCGCAAGAGCATTGACGTGGGTTGCCATGGCAACACTCCTGCATGGTTTGCGTGTTTATGAGCCAAAAAGTTTGTGGTGAGGCCAACCACAATAAAATCACTACAGTGTAATACTGTTGCTTGGAACGTAGCCTAAAAAGCCGCGATGACTGGTAACACATTTTGAGAGCTCCATAAAGATAAGCAAAATACAGGCTCTAATTTAAACCCTGAAATTACCCTGCTGAAATATTCCGTAGCTGGGAGAACACGGAGATCGGTGGCTTCAGTTGAGGGCTGACCAGTAGCCTACAAAAGACCTACTCACAGGTGGCACAAGGAGGAAGCCGAGCCTTCAGTATGCTGCTGTAATTTACTTCTGAGGTCTACCCTATGAACTACCCTCCCCATCGGTGAAGAATCCCGGCACTTCCATCATCATTGAATCCTGTGGAAGGGGAATCTGTACAGTCGAGAGAGTGGCCTTATCCCAAAATAGCAGCTGCCGCTGGTCACCCTTGTCCACAATTTTATGACTTTATAAGTCGCACTATAGGAAACGTTCCCGCAGAGGTGAGCATCGCAAGAAGAAATGGCACAGCATTTACTCTGAGGGTTCTGCTTACCTGAAGGTGTTGGGATCGGTCAAAAGTCAAAAAGAGACGGATAATTTTAGGCCGAACCCTGTTCTGTGGGACTGCGTCTGTGTCTTACCAGTTGAAGGAATCGGCTGACCGCAACATGAGGCCATGGATACTCTGCTAGGGCGTAAGGCATTTATCTTGGGTGGTAGCTTCCTTTTCACCTCCTTCCCTAACCTGCACATGGGACCCGTAGGTTTTTTCTTATTGTATCACACTTTGTTAATTTAATCATTAATATCAAAAAAAGTGAAAGTGCAGGGTGCCAGGCTCCTCAACCCTGTAATTGTAATTATTGCAGTTTTTGATAACCCTTGCAGGGTTAACTACACGTCTAGTGACTTTTGGTCGCCTAACTGGTGAGCATAGGAGAACATTATATAATGCTTTCTTATGGGGAAGTCCTAATGTGAGTGCGAAGCTCGCCGTGCATGCGCATTAGGTCCTCCTGCCCACTAACATCGGCAGAGGAGGAGCCTGGGCAGATGTCCAACGGCACTGGAATTCGGTAAGTGACAGAAGGTGTTTTTAACCCTTTCTGCACTATGGGGGCGGGGGAGTTGCGAGGGATGATGATACTATAAGTGGCTATAGTGCTTGCACTTTAGTTTCCCTTTAACCCCTTTAAGGACTGAGCCAAATGTACACTTTTTGATCAAAATAAAACGTAAACAAAACCTGGAATTTGACTATGTCTGTTCACCCGTAATTCACCTCTTTCATATTATGTGCACCCACACTTATTAATCATTTTTATTCAGGGGAAACAGGGTGTGGCGAAACCGGCCTCGCCACGTGTCCTTGGAGGGGGCTGCTTGCCCGCCTCTTGCCTTTGGACTATGGACCAGACTTTATGAGAATGTGTTAACCCAGATAGCTATGCCATGGAGCCCATTTGTGTAGTTAAAGACTTTGGCTCCATAGCAATTGAACTGTGTGAATAGGATCTGAGCGCTCTTCAGTAGTTTTGTGTGCTCAGATCCCAGCTATCTGGGGATATGTGAAATGTCTGTGTGTTATGTGAAAAGGTTACTTTATGTATTTTAAAGTGTTTTGTGTCTTTTTGCAACCATGTGCTTAATGGAGTCTTGTGTCTGTCCTGGGAGATAATTGAATTACTCTCAGGATAGAAGACTCTGAAACTGGTTTGGGCCAGAAAGCCATGCTTCATTTAGTCACAAAGGACTTTCCCTTAACTTTTGAACCCCTGGTCTGATTCGTGCCATTTTTTAATATGTTGTTCCCCTGAATGGATTGATTATGAAAATGTAAGTTTTATGTATGTACGATGTTAACTCACAAAGTTATAAAAATGTACAAAAATTAACTTTTCAGCTTGGAGATAATTGAGTAGATACAGTAATTGACTCAATTATCTCCTAAGCAGAGGGGAGGAATATGCTGGGTGTGTTTCTATTGTCCCATTGTGTCTGATTGGCTGCTGTACTTGCATTGTATGTGTTGTAATGTGTTTATTGGTGGTTCTGCAAAACCCTGTGGGCAGTACTATGTTTTGTGGATTGTAATAAAAACCAGGCTGGGTGTGCCAGCACTGGAGTTCCTGTTTTAACCCTCAAAGTGAAGTGTCGTCTCATTATTGGGGGAAGGATTTATTGTATGCTGTTCCAGTTTGACTGCTAGGAGAGTAAACCTATTCGTATGGTTCCTATTCAACTGTCTACAGCATTCTTATGCTTGAGAGAAGGTGTCTGCTGCAGTGCTTGGAGTCCTCAGGAAGCGCTAGGAGCATCTTTCAACGGAGGTACCCAGTCGGGGTGCCAGGCGATCCGTTACACAGGGCTTTCATTTAACATCAAATATTTAGGTATGAAACATAATTTAATATGAATAAAATGGGAGAAAATAAGAAATGTTTTTTTTTTTGTTTAGTTCTGAATGACATTTTAACTGTGAATGTCATAATACTGTTTGCTTTATATATATATATATATATATATATAATAAAAAATAAAAAAATTTTTTTAGGCCTTGGCCTGTAGTTGTGGGAACTTGAATCCCTTTAAAAGGGCTGCCAGTCCTCTCCCACCTTACCGTTGATGGTCTGGCAAGTTTGAGAGGATTACTTCTGGTCAAACCGCCATCTTGTTTTCTTACCTTTTTTCCTGGCTCCTGTTCTTCGCTTACCTGACCGCTTACCAAACAGTTTGTAAACCCAAGGGCCTCCTTCCGGCTTCCTCGCAGTCTGGTCTCGGCACGTTACACATCATCGCGGTAGGGGTCCGGTCACATTTTTCGTACGTTCGTTTGATTGTCATTTCGTCACATTCAGCATAATTTGTGTTTTAGAATCAGCTCTAATATATGTGTTGTAACGGCACCCCCAGGCATAAAAGGGGTTAAACTGCTGTTTAGAGGATATTCCCCTTCCAGATATACAGGCAGCTACTAAAGACACCAATCCGCCGAACAGGAAACCATATGAATGCCGTAAACAGCCGAATAGGAAAAACCATACGAATAGGTTTACACTCCTAGCAGTTGAACTGGAACAGCATACAATAAATCCCCCCAAGAACGAGACAAGGCTCTGTTTTGAGGGTCAAGCAGGAACAGACAGAGCTGTTCTTATATACACATTCTTACACATTAGTACCACCCACAGGGTTTTGGAAAACAACCAATAAACACGTACAAAACACTCAGACACTCCCCCACAAAATCCTTCCCTCTGCCTGTGATACAATTACCTTACACAATATAGTTTTTCCACATTATTCATAATTTTAAAAGTATGCATCACATTCACATTTTCAGAATCAGCATACTCCAAATACAAACATACGTCAAAATCATACAAATTGGTCCAGTGGTTCAAAAGATAGGTCGTAGTCCTTTGTGACCAAATGCAGCATGGCTTTTCTGCCCAAAGCCAGTTCCACAGAGTCTTCTATCCTGGAGATAATTGTGAAGTAATCCAATTATCTCCAAGGACAGAGGCAAAACTCCATTGAACATATGGCAGCAAAAGACAATAAAATACATAAAAATATATAACTGTGCAGCCATTGCATAAAACAGGTACATTCAACATATCACCAGATAGCTCAGATCTGAGCGCACATTATTACTGAATAGCGCTCAGATCACACACATACAGTTCAATTGCCATGGAGCCAAAGTCTTTCCCATAGTCTTTCATCATACGAATGGGCTCCATGGCATAGCTATCTGGGGTATCACCGCTCAAACAGGGCAAGCACCGAATGACCCAGCTTTCACATCTTTGCAGGGGAAAATCAAGCATTTCAACATGGGGCCATAGTCTAAAGGCAGCAGGCGGGCAACCAGGCTCCTCCAATGCACAGTGGCGAGATTGGTCTCGTCACATGTGTTTTTCGTATTTTAAACGCACGAATGCAGCCTTTCGTTTCGTTTCACTGCACAGTGCGTTCGTATGTTTCATTAAGCCACCAATTTTCATACAAATGCGTTTCAAGTGGCAAACATACGAATGATCAGGTTTAAACATTTATTCTATACAGGGGATTCCTCCCCGTTTGGCAGTATACTGCTGGTTATGAGATTGTTCACAAATTCATCCGATTGGCCTTGTAAGTCAGATGCCCCTATTGGTTAGAGAGGATATTACAGTTACAATTATATGGTTATGAGTTGTGGCTATTTCAATAGATTTGATGTAGACTGGTTTTATTTTAGCTGACCCCTCACATTGCATTCGTATGTTTCATTAAGCCACCTGTTTCATACAAGCTTTCCTTTCGTATCAGTAGGAAACAGGCGAACGATTATGGTGAAATAATTATTCTATTTAAGGGATTCCCCCCTTTCGGCAGTTATTTGCTGGATTTTATGTTAGTTCACGAATACATTCGATTGGCCTAGTTTTAAGTCATATGCCCCTATTGGTTAGAAAGGTTATTAAAGTTTATGTTTAATGGATATTATTTGTGGCTAGTTTAAATATACTGAATTCGGCTGTTTAATTAATTATCTTTTAGCTGACATTTGTCATGATGTTCCCACAGGTTTCGTTGCAGGAAAATTAAGCTTAAGATTTTGTGACAACTTTGTCAATACTTGGCCTTATTAGGTTGGTAATTTGGTTTAAGGTTGTACTCATTGAAAGTTTTATTTTATAGTGGGCATTAACATCTCAAATTCCTTTAGGTGCCTTGGTCATTCATGACAGTTGCTTTACAAGCACTAAAATTCCGTCATCTGCCTCTGTCATATTTTCACTGCTCATCTATAGGTTCTGGTAGGTTTCCTTTTATTGTTCGGGCCCACGATCTGGCCCACTCACAAATCTATACGCACAGATACTCATCACATCTTATCTATGGGTTGCAGCACGTATCTACTGCCACCCTCTCGTTCCTATATTTCTGCATAGAATCTCGTCCTGACTCAAACTTTATCAGGTATGATTTCACAACCCCATACCTTTTCTATTTTAGAGTGGTACTGGCTTTTGAGATTTAGGTTGTCCAACTTAGGTTTCTGTTTTCCGGTCTTAATCCATAAGCTAGTGGTGGTTCCGTGAGGCCAACACCCATCCTCATACTCGGAGGTATACATCCCTCCAGACAAATCATAGGTATCCGCCTCGCATTGTCGCATAGAGAGGGCCTCCCATGTCACTCCAATTCTATCTTATGCTTTAGTTACCACCGAGAGGCCAACACCCCACCACAACGTTTCGATGGCTTCAAACTCCCCTCGGGCCAACGCATAGTTATCGCCTCTCACGCCGCTTGGCAATTAGTAGGGACTCATCTGTCACGTTAAGGCATCATAATTCTTCGCCGCTTGGCTTCTAGCTAGCCTGCCAGTACCCGGTCTCTTTGTCTCACTTATAGTATTTAAGTTGCATATATATATTTTCAGTTACATATCAAGTTCCTGAGGCACTTTGGGTTTTAGTTCATGTAGGTTGTTACACGTTTGTTCTCATTGTTTCCAGGCTCATACAAAATCCATGTGCCCGAATAAAGTTTTCCTAAACCTTACCACACTTGCATCAACGTCACGTTATTGGCTGCACTGTTACAACACCATCCATCACTGCATTTGGTTAAATGTATCATCAAAGGACTGTCTGAGGGGTTCCACACGGGTTTAGTACACTTGCCAACTGGGACACTAGAATGCAACAATTAGAGTTAGTATGTACACTCATAAGGACTGAAGTGGATCAAGGTTTTGTTGGGGCCTTTTGGTTCCCCACCTTTCACATCTTGGAGAACCAACCCCATAGGGGTTGTCACGGGGAAAACTTAATTTAAACCCAGACTTATCATTGACTTATCAGCACCACATTCCTCCACTATTCCCAGCCTTAATTCCCTTATACCCTCCGACGAGTTTGTAGCGGAGAGCTGGTCTTTCACAGGTTAACTCCACTAAAGATCCCAGTAAGGCTCAGGAACAAGTTATAAAATACCATAGGAGAATAATCACAGCAAGCAAGGTAATCCACGAATATCCCAATACGGATCCCAATGACTGGACGACACACAGCATCAGGAGCAGAACTGACTTTTAATGCACACAACTTCCTTATAAAGCATTCTCCCATGCAAGGGAGGGATTTGCAATAATTAGTACAGTAGCCAATCCTCCACGAGTTGCCACCCACACATCCCCTCCCCTTATGCAGGACACAAATTCCCTGAGTTTCTGGATGTACCCCTAAGTGTAGGGGTACCCCTCTAAATGTTACATCCCCTGGTAGCCCTGATCTGGGTGAGACACATATCCAAAAATCACCCAGATCGGACCAGGGGTTCGGGAAATTTATGGAAGTACTAAAATGACCGAGCAGCCTTACACACATGAACTGTGGGGTAGTTTGTCCCCCCAAAGGATTTTAATGTGGTCTTTGGGATTACCGGTTTCTGTTGCCTGCGAGCATCCAGGTAGTCGTCTGCTTTCCTAGCAGCCTCTGTGAGGGATGTAGGGTTACGGTCCCTTACCCATTCTTGTACGTCTGTTGATACCCCATCATCAAAGGCAGAAGTGCCTTTGAGTTCCTGGCTATCCCAGTCTCTTCACTAGACCTTAGGTCCTGATACCATCATGCAATTTTGGGGATTCAACTGGACTCAATCCACACGCAAGCTAGCCTTCTCCAGGACAAGATTGAGAGCACCCTATCAAGCACTGAGCACTACTTGCAAGTAGGTTTTTGCAACCGCAAGGAACTTCAATCACTGCTGGGGTCGCTCAATTTTGCCATGAGAATCATCCCGCAGGGTAGATCCTACATTTCCAGTTTACTCTTTTTATTCCCATGACTCACCACAGACGTATCACGTTAGACACTCACGCAACCTCTGATTTACTCATTTGGCGCTTTTCCTCACATCTTGGAATGGGCTAGCCATATTTATCCCAGCCCCTCTCTACCCCTGTTCCCTACTCAAAACAAATGGTGCCCTGTAAAAGTCCTGGATACTTATTTCATCCCTTTCCAGAAACAACCACATCAACCATTATTAGAACTTCATGGTTCCTTCCTTACAACATCTAAATTCATGCTTTATTTTCGCTTACTGTTAACTAGGCTCGACCTAAATGCAAACCTTTTCTCAGGACACTCCTTTCGAAAAGGGACAGCATCTTCGGGGGAGACCTAATGCGCATGCGTGGCAATGGCTGTGCACGTGCATTAGACCTCCCATAGGAAAGCATTCAATAATGCTTTCAATGCTTTCCTATGGGAATTTCGGCGACGCTGGAGGTCTTCACATAGCGTGAGGACGTCCAGCATCATTTTAAACCACTTTTCGTGTTCTATGAACACGGAAGTGTCCTCTAGTGGCTGTCTACTAGACAGCCACTAGAGGAAGACTTAACCCTGTAAGGTAAATATAACTATTGCTGTTTATGGAAACTGCAATAATTACACTTGCAGGGTTAAGGGTAGTGGGAGTTGGCACCCAGACCACTCCAATGGGGAGAAGTATCCCTTTAAGGAATCAAATTTCCACAACTATCCCTGAGTTCTCAGCCTGATTTGCAAATGAGCACAATGAGACATTGTGTTCCACACTTCATACTGCATTTCTACAGTTATCCTTAGCACTGGATGCTTCTTTAACCCCTTTACTTCCAATAACATTTTAATTGATCAAATATTAGCCTGACATTTGAGGCAAGGGATGTATAGCTAGTATATAAACTTATCAAATAACATATCAGTGCCAAAACAGACTCAGCCATGAATGTACAGAATCTCAGAAAAACCTCAGTCACTAAAGGGTTAAAGTTCCCCGTTTACTTTCATTGATTGTTGGCAACGTCAACATGGTTGCTCACACTGACCGGAATTATGTGGCACAATGAGTCTTTATTACGAGATTAACCAATACCAGGAAAATGAACTTTACAAATATTAACTCAGTAAACAAATAGTAATAATACCGGGAATTGAGTCCTCCTAATGCACTAACCAATTAGTTCTGTCATTACCCTGCCCAATGTACGGTATATAAGGACAACCCGGGCCATGCATAGCCCTGTAATGCTCAGAAATCTAGGTTGAAGGTAGTAAGTATTGTGGGTATTTTATCTTTATTTATTAATGGAGAGCTATTAGAAATATTATGTCATATGAGGCCAGAATGGGTACATTCCATTACTCTGGGTTAGGAGGGTGCATTCTGTTACTCTGGGTTAGGAGGGTACATTCTGTTACTCTGGGAAAGTAATGATATATCCTGTTACTCTGGATTTGGAGAGCTACATTCTATTACTCTATATTAGGAGAGGAACATTCTATTACTCTGGGTTTGAAGAGTTACATTCTATTACTCTATATTAGGAGAGGAACATTCTGTTACTCTGGGTTAGAAGAGGAACATTCTGTTACTCTGGGTTTGGAGAGCTACATTCTATTACTCTATTTTAGAAGAGGAACATTCTATTACTCTAGGTTAGACCAGAAACATTCTATTACTCTGGGTTAGGAGATGAACATTCTGTTACTCTGGGTTAGGAAATGAACATTCTGTTACTCTGGGTTTGGAGAGCTACAGTCTATTACTCTATTTTAGGAGAGGAACATTCTAGTACTCTAGGTTAGAAGAGGAACATTCTATTACTTTGGGTTAGGAAATGAACATTCTGTTACTCTGGGTTAGGAGATGAACCTTCTGTTACTCTGGGTTAAGAAATGAACATTCTGTTACTCTGGGTTAGGAGATGAACATTCTGTTACTCTGGGTTAGGAAATGAACATTCTGTTACTCTGGGTTAGGAGATGAACATTCTATTGCTCTAGGTTAGAAGAGGAACATTCTATTACTCTAGGTTAGAAGAGGAACATTCTGTTACTCTGGGTTAGGAGAGCTACATTCTATTACTCTATTTTAGGAGAGGAACATTCTATTACTCTGGGTTAGAAGAGGAACATTCTGTTACTCTGGGTTAGGAGATGAACATTCTGTTACTCTGGGTTAGGAGAGCTACATTCTATTACTCTATTTTAGGAGAGGAACATTCTATTACTCTGGGTTAGAAGAGGAACATTCTGTTACTCTGGGTTAGGAGATGAACATTCTGTTACTCTGGGTTAGGAGATGAACATTCTATTACTCTAGGTTAGAAGAGGAACATTCTGTAACTCTGGGTTAGGAGAGCTACATTCTATTACTCTATTTTAGGAGAGGAACATTCTATTACTCTGGGTTAGAAGAGGAACATTCTGTTACTCTGGGTTAGGAGATGAACATTCTGTTACTCTGGGTTAGGAAATTAACATTCTGTTATTCTGTGTTAGGAGATGAACATTCTGTTACTCTGGGTTTGGAAGTGTATATTCGATTACTTGTTTTTGGGAGGAGTAGATTATGTTACTCTGGGTTAGGAGGCATTAAACCTAAGTCTGGTTTTGAAGGGAAACATTCTGTTATTCTGGATTTGGAGTGGAAAATTTAGTGTCTCGTTTTGGAGAAGTACATTCTATTATTTTGGTTTAAGAGGGATAAATTCTCTATGTTTCACTTCATACCTAGTTACCGCACAAAATAACTAAAATCCCTCCTGCTTTGTATTCTTTCAATAGCAAAATGGTTGATTGTTGTAAATTGGAAAGCAGGGAGGTTGCCAAAATGGTCAGATGTGGAAAGGGTGATGCAGAGAAATAGAGCATTAGAAAGAGAGGATGGACACTTAGGGGTTTACATAGCCCCAAAGTATAGGTGGGCCATTTGGGACGACTATTGTTTATTCCATGGACAAAATTCTTTATAGTTTTTGTTCCTCATCAGCTCACTTCCCCATGGAATTTAGGAACAATGTATGTGATATGTGTGCGTTTGTTATACATGGGCATTGAGGGTTTTGACACAGACATATCCCATCTTCCCGGATTTCCCACTATACAGCTTTTGGAATATTTCCGCATTCCTATCTATATAGAGTGTCTTTTATGTTATAGGGCCTCTCCTCTAGGATATGGTTGTAGATGATGATCAATATGTGGAGTTGGAATATGTCTCTAATACAGGATAATGGGGAGATTGGAGATGAGAGTTGGGTAGAGTACCCCCCAGGTAGATGGGTGAAGGGGTCAGATTATTATTTGTAATTTGGGTTTATCAGCATATCAAGACATTATGTACTGTTTGATAGACTGTTGTATGTGTCTTTTATTCTTTATGTGTAACCTGTCTCAAACCAATAGCTATGTTGAGTGTGTTGTATGTAAATGTTCTTTTATGTATTTTGTGATAAAACCAATAAAAATGTATATAAAAAAAAAGAGGGATAAATTGTTACTCTTGTAATGAGTGGTGCATGTTATGGCAGTAGTAACAAGGTTGCAAAGGTCATTATTGTGACCAGCCCTAGAGCTCTGCTGGTCAAATGGGTACTTTGGCCAGGGGGTAGCAAGGGGAGGGGTATTTACAACATTTACACCGTTAACACCCCAGCATGGCTGTGAAAATGTCCAGATTTGCAGTCTGAATGGCTCTGTACACAACCAGATGGTTTTTCCCTATTCGATATAGGACTCTTTGGACTTTGGTGAATAGTCCTGAGACCTATTGGCCTAAAGAGAGAGCCTAGGAACAGCTGATGGATTACTGTAGGATCTGGTAGACTTAGAGTTGTGGATAAAAAGCATATTGCACAGTCTGTGGCTCTACATAATTCAATTTTAGCACTTTCAGACTATAGTGGTGTTATGGAGACAGGCTCAGGCACTGAGTGTAGTGGTGTTATGGAGACAGGCTCACGCACTGGGTGTAGTGATGTTGTTGAGACAGGCTCAGGCAACGAGTGTAGTGGTGTTGTGGAGACAGGCTCAGGCACCGAGTGTAGTGGTATTATGGAGACAGGCTTGGAGACTATGGTGAGGCCTAATAGAGAGCATAAGAGGTGTGGAGATGGACAATAGTGGTCTTGTGAGATGTCTCTGCTACTGCTCAGAGACAGGAGACATTTGTAATATTATTAAGCAAGCAAAGCAGGAAGGGGAATTGGATGTACTTGACTTGACTTGCAATGAGGTTTCAGAGGTAAATTAAGTTTTTTTTTGTGTTTTTGCCAATGATATACGGCAGGTTGCTTCCACACTGTCATTCTCTGAAGTTCTGCCTGTACATAACACTCAGGACGACAGGCGGATGCGTATTAGTGACTTTAGTTTGTGGCTTGGTGAATGGTGTCGGGAGCAAGGATTTGGCTTCATTTCTCATGGTAGCTCTGTTTGGAATGGAAATAAACTGTACAAAAAAGATGGTTTGCATCTTTCTCAAAAGGGAACAAATGTTCTCAGTGAGCAGTTCCAAGGTTTTGCTAGGATGTATTTAAACTAGGAGCGGGGGGGGGGGACAAAAGGGTGATAAAACATCAATCCAATTGCCCCCCAAAACAAGGACAGAAGGTGTCCGTAGCAAGTATGTTAAAAAATGATAAGTTTAGAGTCATGTCTACAAATACTCGCAGTTTAGGGAATACGATCCATGAACTTGTGGCAATACTGGCAACTGATAATGTAGATTTAGTCGCTGTTACCGAGACATGGTATAATGAGAAAAATGACTGGGACATAGCAATACCAGGGAACTCTTTATATAGAAAAGACAGGGAAGGCAAGAAAGAGGGAGGGTTGGCCCTGTATGTGAAGGATAGCATAAAATCTAGCCTAATAAGAGTTAGTGAGGCGAACATAGAGTCCGTTTGGGTTACGTTAGAATTTGGTAATCACACAGTAACTCGTGTAGGTGTGATTTATAGGCCCCCAGGACAAATAGAAGAGTTAGATAATCTACTAATTGAGGAAAAATAGCTAAAATGACAATGAAGGGGGAAGTTATCATCATGGGTGACTTTAATCTTCCTGATGTGAACTGGAAAATCAAAATATCTGCTTGTGCCAGGCGCACACATATTCTAAACTCCCTACTGGAGCCAACGTTGAGGAGCCAACTCGTAAGGAGGCCATACTAGATTTAGTGTTAACAAATGGAGATTTGGTGTCAGATATTACTGTAGGTGGAAGTTTAGGATCCAGTGATCATCAGTCAGTGTGGTTTAATATAAGAACAGTCACACCACACAAAAACAAGTCATCCGCTGTGAGTCTGCTTGCCATTATTGTTTTTTTTTTTTTTAATGGATATCACTGTAAGGCAGGGGTTCCCAATTAATTTTTCCTGTGGAACCCTTTGACATAGTGTATCAACATCCAGGAAAAAAAATAATTGCGCTTTTTTTGTATGTGCCGGTGTGTCAGTGTGTGTATATCTGTGCTTGTACGTGCCACAGATACACAGGCACACACACAAACACACACACACAGGCATATAGTGGCACACAGATACACACACCTTGACACACAGTGTGTATCTGTGTGTGTGTGTGTGTATGTATGTATCTGTGTGTCAAAGTGTGTATCTGTTTTATATGTCTGTGTATCTGCGTATCAGTGTGTATCTGTGTTTGTATGTGCCAATGTGTATGAATCTGACACACTGATACACACACACACACACACTGGCAGATAGTGGCACACAGATACACACACTTACAGATACACACACCTTGACACACAGATACACACTGGCACATACACACGCTGACACACTCAGATACACAAACACACACTCACTGACAAGCACACATTCACTCTCACTGACAAACACACATATATACTCTTTGACAGACACACATACAATATATTTTTTTTTTACATTTTACTCCACCCAGCTCCCCTACCTATAGAAGTGCTGGCATGGCGTCCCTGAGGTGCAGTGGGGCTGCTGGTGAGCGGTCTCTGGGGTTCAGTGGGGCTGCTGGGCGGCTGGCGAGCGGTCCCTGGGATCCCGTGGGACTGCTGGGTGGCTGGCATACGGGCGGCAAGGGAGCAGTGATCTACCATCACTGCTATGCGTGCGAGGGAGCCGAGCAGGGAGATCACTGGGTAGTGGTGGTTTGTAGAGTGGGGTGAGGAGGGGTTTGTAGAGGGGGCAGGGGCTTTTGTACAAGGGGGCAGTCGGTTTTGTAGAAGGGGGGCAGTCGGTTTTGTGGAAAGGAGGCAGTCGGTTTTGTAGAAGAGCGGGCCAGCAGATTGTAAATGTACCTAGGGAGGTATCAGTCTTAATTAGAACTAAATAAATGCTTATTCATATTTTCATTCTTAATATTTTTGTTCTTCGTATTTATGTTTTATTGTACTCTTAATGTATTTTAACATAAATATTTATTAATATCAAAACACACTTAGGATGTAATGTTATATATATGTAAAATTTTATATATATAAAATTCTTAGAAACATTTAAAAAATTGCGGGTGTTTTTTTTTAATTTTAATGCGGGAGTGGTGTTGCCAAACACAGGATCCGCCCCAGGTGCCAAATACTCTAGGTACTAGGTACGCCCTGCTGAGAGCATCCATTCAGATCACTGTATTTGCTTCTCTACTCTGCAGGTCTCGGATTGGACGATTTCACTATGAAATTCTTTGTGATTCTGCTTGTCCTGTCACCAGGAGCAGTTCTCAGCAATGAATGTATCAACGAATGTTCTCTCACTGATCCCACTTCACTGAACAGTCTCATGCAATCAGTGGGTAAGAGATTTCACTGGCTCACACTCTGCCAGTCACTAACACACAGAGAAATGAGTACAGAACATCACACAGAGGACTGGACAGCCATCGGGCAAACTGGGCAAATGTCGGTTTGGCCCCAATGGGCATGGACTGAGGCCAGTAGGGGAAATCAAAAGATCTCCCCTGTCAGCCCATGTAGGGCAACAAAGGCTCTAATAGGCACCACTGTCTTTTCAAGAATAAACCTGAAGAAACCGTAAGTCAGATTGCGTATTAGTACTTTTCATTAATATAGACAAGACTATATATACAAAAGACGTATATATCAATCAACTGAAGAGAAGAAGAAATTAAGAAGATTCAACATTAACGTTGTCGATTCCAACCAGATTTTACAGTAATTATTGCAGTTTCTCAGAAACTGCAATAATGACCACTGTAGGGTTAAAGGACGGGGATTGTACCCAAACCCATTCAAAGAGCTGAAGTGTCTCAATTAAGTGTTCTGGGTGAGTGCCCCTGTCCCCTTAACCCCTTAAGGACCAAAGTTCTGGAATAAAAGGGAAATGTGACATGTCACACATGTCATGTGTCCTTAAGGGGTTAAAGGGAATCTGTACTGTTTATCTGGCTCTCCACTCCCCCGTCACAATCTAAAGAGGTGAGTGTTACACTTCTCTTCTGTGCTGACTTATCTAACTTTGGGACACTTCCCTATGCAATGCAAACCTTTTCCATGATGCTGGCATGCTGCCTTCGTTCATAAGCCGGCATGCTGTATGTAACGGACCGTTTTACCCACAAGAGGTTAATAACCGTTTAGGCAATATTCCCCTTTCAGATGCACAGACAGCTACTGCAATCACCAATCTCCCGAACTGCAAACTACACGAATTCTCCAACTCCTGAACAGGAAACTCCCGAATACTGGAAACAGCTGAACAGGAAAAACCATACGAAAGGTTTACACTCCTGGCAGTCAGCATACAATCCAATTCCCCCAATAACGAGACAACACTTCGTTTGAGGGTTAAGCAGAATCTGTTTACTGGCACCAAGAAAACCTTCTTTTATGCAGGTTTCCCTTAGATAGGACCACCCACAGGGTTTTACAAAACAACTAATCATACACGTACATTACAGAAACACTCCCAGCAATTACATACAAAAATCATCCCATCTGCCTGTGATATAATTATGGCACACAATGGTTTAATATAATTAACACAGGCAGGAAAAATACAGTTTTTACACATATCCTGTAACTTTAAAACCACACATCCAATCTCCATAGAATCAGCAACCTTTAAATATAAACATAACCAAAAATCAGCCAGATTGGTCCATTGGTTCAAAAGATAGATCGAAGTCCTTTGTGACCAAAGGAAGCATGGCTTTTCTGCCCAAAACCAGTTCCACAGAGTCTTCTATCCTGGAGATAATTGGGAAGTAATCCAATTATCTCCCAGGACAGAGGCAAAACTCCATTGAACACATGGCAGCAAAAGACAATAAAACACATACAAATATATAACTGTGCAGCCACTGCACAAAACAGGTACATTCAACATATGCCCAGATAGCTTAGGTCTGAGCGCACATTATTACTGAATGGCACTCAGAGCACACACATACAGTTCAATTGCCATGGAGCCAAAGTCTTTCCCATAGTCTTTCATTATATGAATGGGCTCCATGGCATAGCTAACTGAGGTATCACCGCTCAAACAGGGCAAGCACCGAATGACCCGGCCTTCATGTCTTCACAGGGGAAAATCAAGCGTTTCAACATGGGGCCATAGTCTAAAGGCAGCAGACGGCAACCAGGCTTCTCCAGTGCATAGTGGCGAGGTTTGTTCCGCCACACTGTAAACAAAGTCACATCACGTCATTCTGTTCTTATACTCTCTAGCCAGCGCTAGCAGAAGCTGTGGTTAGAGGTCTCCTCTGCTCTCCCTGGGTCTCAGTCTTTCAGTGTCTGCCGAGTAATTGAGAGACAGATGGGAGAAAGAACAATTTTTAAATAGGTTTATCCCCAATTCTATACAATTATTACCAAAACTGCTAACACATCTATAACGGCCACCCTGAGTATGAAGGGGTGTACGCTGTTAGGGACGTCCTTTTCCCTTGGAAGGAGCAGTGCTGCAGTATTCTCCAGATCTCATCTCAGCCGACCTAGAATCTGAATGGACAGTAGAGCTCTTATAAGAGCTAGTGATTAGTGAAGCAGGTTCCCTACAAGCACAAGACAAGGCTATGTGTTGGGGATTAAGCAGAACTTAATTTTAATGGAAGCCACACTGGCCTTTTATGCAAGTCCCCAAGCAAGAGTGACACCCACATGGACCTTGTTGGAGACAGGGACACAAATGTACACAACAAACACAATAGCATTGTAATCTGAGACACTTCTACAGACGGCATACAATCCCTCTCCTCTGCTTGGGAGATAATTGAGTTAATTACTGTATCAACTCAATTATCTCCAAACGAAAAAAGGACAATTTTTAAACATTTCTGGAAACACCCCAAAATCACATCTCCTGATAGCCCTGATCTGGGGGAATAACATATTCAAAAATCACCCAGATTGGTTCAGGGATTCAAAAGTTATATGGAAGTAACATTTCGGCCCGGCCACATGCGAGGCTCCTGCCCAGAATAGTTCCATGAATTCAGCTGGTGCGGCCAGTCTCTTTCGTGCAGTTCAAAATGTTGAACAATATCTTGAATAATCGTTCCTGTGTAAGGTAGCAGTGTGCGTTGTTTTTACTGAATGCCGCCTCCTTCGAATGAATTAGGACGAATCTAAGTGGTCCTGGAAGTCTCAGCGGTGTTCAGAAATAGTTACAGACACTCAACGACCAAACCCCGCTGGACGGGTTCGACAAAACAAGATGGCCACCGCCACATGTTCGTGCATACGAATCGACGGCCACCCAGTGAACCACTTAGAATGTTCAGAGTTGCGGTTTGGAATAGTGTCAAATAGGTCAATTGATGGCACTAATGTTCGGTAAAATGTTGGTATACGAACCAGCTGAGTAAAGTCTGTTCGTCTTAGTTCGTATACTGTTTTAGGCGAATGGCATTACAAATAAAGTTCAGAATGTCAACAAAATATAAGTCCAGCGAACAGGGTATCTGTTACAACATCCTAAAGATTTTTTAAAACTCTTTCAAAAGAGCTAACGTTGATTAAGCCGTACAGATTCCCTTTACCTCTGCAGAGAAACTGCAATATTTAGATTGCAGGGTTAAGACAGTCTCTAGTGGAGCTTCCTTGATTCACACTGAGTTTAACTCCGTGAAACAATGCTCAACATCCTCAGGATTGAAAAGCCCCGTTGGAAAGCATTGATTCAGTACTCTCTTATTGGAAAGGTCTCATGTGCATTAGGTTTCCTCGTTGCTGTCACATCCCGGAAGGAGGAGACCGAGCCAGCACTGAGGGACCTTGGTAAGTGAAAGAAAGTTTTTAACCCTAAATACTATCATGCTAAAATTTCAATATATATAAAAGTCGCATAAGAGATCATTTTAAGTCAAAATAAATCAGCTGCTAAATTTGGATCTAAATATAAACCCTAGGGACACTTATAGAAAACGTTGAATGTGAATTAATAGTGTAGCGCTTAAAAACTGTAGGTAAATTAAGAAAATATAGAAAGTTTCTATATTTACCTACAGTTTTTAAGGGCTACACAATTAATTAACTTTCAAGGCTAAATACTATCATGCTCTATGTAATGTGTGTCTTATTTTTTTCTTTTGCTTTCCAGAGCAATCACTAGTAAAGAGGTATCCCCTGCTTAGTAGTGAAGGGATTAAATGAGGAGCTTGAGTTGCTGTTTTCTAATTTCTCCAACTCCCAATTGATCTGAACTCTGTTCTCTGATCTCTTACAGTTGAGATGGTTCTGAAAAACGCTCAAATAGTTTGCACTGACGTGTTGCAGAGAGGGGACCTTGCTACTTGTCCAGAAGGTGTGTTTTTATTTATTATTCAATTTATTTTTGATAAATGTCTCATGGAAGAAGCACTGATAAAATGAGAACAAAAATTGCTAACAGACATGATTTCTTTGTGTGTTAGCCCAGCGGCTAATAGGAGAAAAATATTACAGACAGAATGTTTCAGAAAACACAGAGCACACACAATTCACACAACTCGTGTTCCTAACTGTATCCCCAGCCCCCTAGCTCAATACCACCACATGAAAATTGAACGTCCAGTTTCGTGTAAACTGCTCCCATCTCTGCATGCACCACATTATTCCAACCCATGGCTCATCCATTCAGCATTTAATTTCATTTTATTTTGTTTTATCTTGGGGAATGTATTATTATTATTATTATATTTATACAGCGCCATCAAATTCCGCAGCGCTTTACAATGGGTGGACGAACAGACATGTAGTTGTAACCAGACAAGTTGGACACACAGGAACAGAGGGGTTGAGGGCCCTGCTCAATGAGTTTACATGTTAGAGGGAGTGGGGTATAGTGACAGTAACAGAGGGATTGAGGCCCTGCTCAATGAGTTTACATGTTAGAGAGAGTGGGGTATAGTGACACAGTAACAGAGGGATTGAGGGCCCTGCTCAGTGAGTTTACATGTTAGAGGGAGTGGGGTATAGTGACAGTAACAGAGGGATTGAGGCCCTGCTCAGTGAGTTTACATGCTAGAGGTAGTGGGGTATAGTGACACAGTAACAGAGGGATTGAGGGCCTGCTCAGTGAGTTTACATGCTAGAGGGAGTGGGGTAAAATGACACAAAAAGATCTATAATATTCCTGAGTCTGTCCATTCAAATCAGGAGAGGTATATATGATTATAAGTTAAATAACACATCAAAATATCATTAGGTTGTGTGAATTGTTTATTTGCATCAAATGTGTGAATAAGCATGTTTATTTACTTTCAATCTGACTCCCCATCGGTCTTATGAGGGTTCGTAGCCAGGACCTTTCATGAAGATTGTCTTACATGTCCCATGATTCATAGATCATCTTTGGCAAACCAAAGACTGCCAGCAATTTGGGCCCTTGAGCAAAATTTGACCCTGGCCGGCTGGCCCCCTCCTTGATGGTTATAGATTACTAGGGCCAGCCCAAGACATTGAGGTGCCTGGGTCCAAGGATGAAATGCTCTCCACCACCTCACCAAAATCACGCCTTAAAAAAACGTGCCACATCCATTATGTTATGCAGTGTGTGTAGTTAATGCAGTTTCTGTGTTTGTGTAGGTGATGTAATGTGTGTATTGAATGCAGTGTGTGTAGTGAATGCATTGTGTGCTTGTGTATAGTGAATGCAGAGTGTGTATTTGTGTAGTGAATGCATTGTGTGTGTGTTTATTGGATTTAGAGTGTGCAGTGGATCCAGTGTGTGTGTATAGAATGCAGTGTCTGTGTTTGTGTAGTGGATGCAGTGCCTGTGTTTGTGTAGTGGATGCAGTGCCTTTTTTAAAGTTTATAATTATGTTTCTTCACCCTCCATGCCTCATACCTGTGGCTAATAAGGGAAGACACTAGATTCCCTGGTGGTCCAGTGGCACAGCATGCTGTCAGAATGAAGAGGGGCCCTGGAGTCTCATTTTCTCTCTCCTGGCTATGGTTCTCTCCTCCAGCAGCAACAGGTCTTCTTCCCTCATGAGATGTAAGAGCGTGGCCACGGGTTGCCATGGCAATGCTCCGTATGCCACGCAATGCATGCCAGAGTGTTGCCATGACAACCCGCAGCAACATCCTCGCATCTCGCAAGAGAAGAAGACCTGTTGCTGTTGGAGGAGAGAATCATAGCCAGGAGAGAAAGAAAATTAGACTCCAGGGCTTATTCCTTATTGGACAAGCCAGTAGGGGCTTGGAACTGCAGATATATAGAGGTACTTGCTATATATAGTTATATGCAAATAGGTGGTCCGGATCCCATTCTGCAGACTTGTTAAAGTATACAGGGGCGGCAAAATTATTCTTCTCCCTGCCCCTAGCCCCTAACTGTGCCTCTCCCCTACCTTCAACTTGTGCCTCTCCTCCCCATTCCCCACCTTACTTCTATCACCCCAAACTTTCCCACAAATACTTCTTCCCCCTTTATTAATTCACGTGTGTCTCTTAAATCCTCTATTTCCCAACTTGTTCTTTTTCTCCCTTTCCCCACTTTACTTCTACTACCTTAAAATCTCCAACAAATTCCTTTTCCCACTCTATTTATGCACTTGTGCCTATTGAACCCCTTAAATTCCTCACTTGTGCCCCTTGAAGCCCATATTTCCCCATTTATGCAATTTTAGAACCCTCTAATAATCCACTTGTGCCTCTACTCCCCCCTCTAATTACCTACTCTCCTAAAATCCTCTACTTCTTCATCTCCCTCAATTTCCCTCACCTCATGGCTTCTCCCCATTCTTATTGTATGCAGTGTGTGTATTGAATACATGATGTGTATACACACATTGTGTGTGCAGTGTCTGTGATTGTGTAATGTATCTAGTGTTTGTGAGGTGGATGCAGTGTGTCTAGTGGATGTAATGTCTGTGGAGTGGATGTAGTGTATGTGGATGTAGTAATGCATGTAGTGTTGGATAAGGGGGTGAGCCGTTTAAATTAAATTGGGTTTATCAACCCTCCCTGCCTCTTACCTGTGGGCTGGAAGTGGGGGACAGTGTGTGGGAAGGAGACAGGAGAAGGGGTCTGTAACAGAACCGCTTGCACCCCGACTGGGTACCTTCCGTTGACAGATGCTCCTAGTGCTTCCCGAGGACTCTAAGCACTCCGCCAGACACCATAACCACTGTAGACTCCCACGAACCACCGCAGTTTGGTTGGGGTCTCGCTGTCTCCACCCACTCTGGACCCAAGACCAGGGTCCAGCTTCCAGTAGGTCGACCTCTCCGAATTCCAGTGAGCAGGAACAAGCTCTTAGCATAGCTTAGTGATTATACCCTGAGGAGTATAGTGATTATAGCAATCCCCAGAGTGTAGTTCTCCAATCCCCCAAACATGTGCCAAAACTTCATGAAGGTACAAGATGATCTGACTTTATTTGGCACCAAAGGGCCTTCTTTTATGCAGGTTTTCCTTACATAGGACCACCCACAGGGTTTTACAGAACAACCAATAACACACGTACATTACAGAAAACACTCCCAGCAATTACACACAAAATCCTCCCCTCTGCCAGTGATATAATTATCACAGGCAGGAAAAATACCGTTTTTTTACATACACTGTAACTTATAAACTTATAAAATATACGTTCATATTACATATTCAGAATCAGCACACTTTAAATATAAACACTCTCAAAAATCAGACAAATCCATCCAGTAGATAAAAAGTTAGACAGAAGTCCTTTATGACCGACCGCAAGCACATTTTCCTGCCCAAAACAGTTCCATAGATTAGGGCTGTGCGGCCGGTCAATTTTATGCAGAAAAATGACTAAGTCCCATTCGAATGCACAGTCACCTGCCTCAGGGGTCCATAAACTGCTTCCTCCATGACAGGAGGAAGCAACGGTGACGTCCATGCAGGCACTTTGGGATAGATGCAGCCAGGGCCAGCCTTAGGCCTTTAGGCGCCCAGTGAGAAAAATAACACACACACAGGCAGACAGTGACACACACACAGTTACAGTTACAGTCACACACACGCAGACAGTCACACACACGCATAGGCAGACAGTCACACACACGCATAAGCAGACAGCCACACACAGAGGCAGACAGTCACACACATTTACAGTCACACACACACAGAGGCAGATAGTCACACACATACACAGTTCTAGTCACACACACAAAGGCAGATAGTCACACACACACAGTTCTAGCTCCTTCCTGTACATCAGTTACCACTGACCGGATGTCTTCTGGGTGCTTTTATATCCCCTCACCATCATTTAGCCCCGCCCCTGCCACACAGTAGGCCCAACCCTTGTTTTTTTAATAATCCCAGGAGGAGAATAAGTAAATCCTACACCCGGGTAGCCTGACCTATGTGAGCTCACCCCTAAGGCCGGCCCCTGAAACAGCGCCTGCATTTTGGGGGGGCACAAGGTGGGACACGGCATGATGTAGGAGGGCTATGGCCCCCTCTGGCCCCCCCCCTAGCGATGCCCCTGACTGCAGTGCCATCTTAACAACATTATGGGCCCCCGGGCAAAGCAGTGCACTGGGGCCCTGCCTACACAACCACTCACAGGAAAACATTTTTTTAATTATCGATAAAAGACCCTAGCCACACATTATACCACAAACACAACACAACTGAAATCGACCTATTTTCACATTACCACCACAATCAGCTTACTCTACACACACTCAATCACACACGCAGGTTCCAAACACATTCACCATACGCTTTACTGGACCTCTTGTCCTCTGGGATCCCACTTATGAAGACAGCAGAGACAAGTTACAAGCAAACACAGCGCAAGCATGTTAATAATTTTGCTTGCGCTGCGCAAAAAAAATACAGGGCCTTTTTCTCATGCTAGAGCTCTTCAGAAGGGCTCTGTGCATGGTCTACCCTTGAAGAGCATTAAACCAACATGCTCACTTTGAGAGGAGATGTGCTTGTCTTTGGTGATGGCAAAACACCCCCTTTCTAGCCCCAACCCCTTGTAAGTGGGCCGCTGTGATAGAAAAAAAGCCCTGGCTTTGCTTTAGATTACTGTGTTAGTGAAGGCATAACACGCAGTATCATTGCAGTTCCTGTAACAGAGTCTGATCTGATATTAACACCCTGAATTAATACCTCCCTTGTTCTGCAGGTACCACCCCAGCCTCTTGCTCCTGTGGGAGTGCATGTGGCTCGTGGGATGTGCGATCTGGTACTACGTGTCACTGTCAGTGTCATAAAATTGACTGGACCTCAGCGCGGTGTTGTAAAGTGGCCGCAAAGAAAAAGTGATCTCAAAAGTCAACATGTCATTTTCCCCCATTATTTGCTGTGATTTTCCTTAATTGTGCTTCTTAATAGACAAAAATATACTTTTTGTTTTTTAAATGCAATAAATTCTTTCAATCTGGAATGTATGAATATTAATTTTATTATTTTAGTTTCTTCAACTGCTACAAAGACATTCCGTTTGCAGTGTATTTCTCCACACTCTAATGCAGTTGGTTACTCGGAAGACGTTGTTTCTTTCTGTCCCGATTTATTTTTGTCATCTGTAATACTGACAGAATTTTAACAAATTTCAAAAATAAACATTTCAATATACTGTAAATACTCGAGTATAAGTCGAGACCCCTAATTTTACCCCAAAAAACTGGGAAAACGTATTGACTCGTGTATAAGACTAGGGTGGGAAATGCAGCAGCTACTGGTAAATTTCTAAATAAAATTAGATCCCAATAAAATTACATTTATTGAATATTTATTTACAGTGTGTGAATATAATGCATGCAGTATGTGTGTATATAATGCAGTGTATTTGTATGAATGCAGTGTGTGTGTGTGTGTGCATGAATGCAGTGTGTGTGTGTATGAATGCTGTGTGTGTGTGTATGTATGAAATCAGTGTGTGTGTGTATGAGTGCAGTGTGTGTGTATGAATGCAGTGTGTGTGTGTGTATATGAATGCTGTGTGTGTGTGTGTGTGTATGAATGCAGTGTGTGTGAATGCAGTGTGTGTGTGTGTATGAGTACAGTGTGTGTATGTGATGCAGAGCCTTGGTGGGGGGTGGGCATTTTTATTCTTTTTTTAATTATTCTTCTTTTTTTTAATATATTATTAATATTTAATTTTTTATTTATATTTTTTTCGTCCCCCCTCCCTGCTTGACACATGGTCAGGGAGGAGGGCTCTCATTCCTTGGTGGTCCAGTGGATGGGCTGTGTAGGAGGGAGGCTGGCAGCAAGCTGTAACTTACCTTTCCTGCAGCTCCTGTCAGCTCCCTTCACCTCCGTTCCGGTCAGCTCCCCTGTCAGCTCCACTGTAAGTCTCGTGGTGTGAGTGCCAATATAAGTTGCCATAATACAGACATTGACTCGAGTATAAGTCGAGTGGGGGTTTTTCAGCACAAAAAATGTGCTGAAAAACTCGACTTATACTCAAGTATATACGGTACCTAATGAGAATATATCCCCAAAAAGTGACCGCCACAAAAAAAGTAACAAAGAAATCCAAGTACATAAATAAAAATATAAATATTTAATATAAATTTTACAGTCATTAATAAAACAATATAAAATAGCAAATTTAGTTAGTGCCTTGTAATGCCTTGTTTTATTGGACTAACAGAATTTTATAATGACGGGTTTTCGGGAGATCAACTTGAGAAAGAGAGGATCTCCCCCGAAAGCTTGTCATTCCAAAATTCTCGCAGTACAATAAAAAAAAAAGGAATTACAATACACTAATTGCATCTGCAATTTTACATCCAATACACCTACAATCGCTACTTTAACACTAATAAAATAATAAATTTATGTTTTATAAATATTAAAATAAATCAAATAAATATATAAAATAAATGGAATAATATGAAAAATATTTCATAAATAAATACAGTTAATGATAGATAAATAGTGACCGACATCAGGGACTTTTCCAGATACAGTCAGAATGGGTAAGAAGGGTGTCGTGTGATTTGCAGACACCAGGGTAAGTATCGAATCGCATACATTCTGGCTCTGACATCAGTAATGTTTGAGTGAACTGGCCCGTGTTTTACACAATTCTTACATAATTATATACTTCAAATGATGGGAATAGACTTACGTTAGCTACATCCAGGTCCCCATTGTAGCGTCAGGATTTGTACATTATCACTAATATTAAGGCTAAATCCAGAGATGAGGCAGTAAAATGCTAAATTATAAGGAGACGTTTTAATCCTAGAACGAGCCAATAGTCAGGGGCATCAGAAATACTAAAAAAATTATAAACATGCCAGAGTGAATAAAAACCAGAGCGGACAGTCATACAAGTCAAGTAAGAACCAAACACCAATAGGAATCAGCATAATATTCTAACGGTCTAACATGAACCACAATAGAGCACTAGTATGGGCCTGGGGGTGGGAATTAAATAGTTTGGTGATCGGTGGATTCTTGCCCGTCTTTCAACTGCGCAATTGTGAAGGGTTTGACTCACCTTCACAAGATCACAATAGCAGCACCAACCATAAGGTTTTCTTGTGCTGCAAAAGCGAGACCCAGATTTGTAGATTTCTGCGGATTGATTCTGCCCTCATTCTTATTGGGTATCTGGGTGTTTAACACATCACATCCAAATGTAGGGTGTGCAAGTGTTTACAAAACACAGAGTTTTACATTTTACAAGGTTACTTAAAATCAGGGGATTTAGTTACACCTCAATACGGCCATATTGTGTTAAGCCCACCACTATGTCACAGTACTCCAATATTGGTGGGTCCTACACTAATCTTAATATTGGAGATTACATGCTAACTTCAATAATTAGAGCTTAAACTGTTTCTCCTCAATTTATGCCTCCCTGTGGTCACCTCCAAAGGGGCACCTATAGTGAATGGGAGGGGTGCTCATCTTCATAGGAATCTGGTCTGGTTTCCAAATCTACACAGAAAAAAATGGGAATTGGGAGCACACCCAGAACATGCATTTCTTAATAATGGTGCTGCCGTGAATACCAAAATCTATACAAAATACAGTGAAAGGAACAGCGCACACACAAATAAAATATTCCGTTTTAAACTTTCCAAATCTACTTAAAATCACCTATCTCAGCAAATAAAGATTGGAATTCAGTTCCACCATATGGCTATATTGTATTAAGCCCACCACTTCTTAACAGAACCTCAATATCGGTGGGTCCTACACTAATTTTAACATGGGAGATTAACATGCTAACTGCGATACTTATTGCTTAAAAGGCTTCAAAGGGTTTTCCTCAATTTATGCTTTCCTGTGGTCACCTCCAAACGGGCCCACACAAATATACAGTTTAAAATGTTATAAGGCTACCTAAAATCTCCTATTTTAGCAAACAAATATGTGGATTCAGTAGGGATCCATATTGTGTAAAGGCCATCACTACGAAGATAGCTGATTTTTGCTGCTTAATATCAGTGATATTAAGCAGCCTTGTAACATGTAAATCTGTGCGTGGATGTTAGGTTAATATATCTGTTTTTCGTAGGTGTCTGGTAGGTATGAACCTGTGCATCATTGTATATGTGTGTGTGTAATTATTAGTAATTGTATTCCAGTTTAGATATCCGAGGGCCATTCCTGTGTTTAGCCTCTAGATCTGCCACTGGCTGTTACAGGATGTCTCGTTTATATAAATATCACAAATAGCATCTGTGATTCCGTTCAGGGATGAAGGGTGTAACGGATAACCTGGCAGCCCAACTGGGTACCTCCGTTGAAGGATGCTCCTAGTGCTTCCTGAGGGCTCCAAGCACCCCAGCCGACACCATAACCACTGTAGACTCTTCCAGAAAGCAAGACAGGAACAAGCTCTTACAAGAGCTTAGTAGTGATATAGCAAGGGAGTATGAGTAGCATAGCAATCCCTTGTAGCAGATTCCCCCAGTAACAAGACGACACTTCGTTTGAGGATCAAGCAGAACTGACTGTACTGGCACATACAGCCTCTTTTATTCACAATCCACAAACATAGTACTGCCCACAGGGTTTTGAAATACAACCAATCAATCCGTAAAATACACACAGACACTCACACCCAAAATCCTCCCCTCTGCCTGTGAAATGATTACTGAACACAATGGGTAATATAATTATCACAGGCAGAGAAATACAGTTTTTACAAAATATTAATAACTTCCAAAATATACATGCCATTCACATAAAACATACATTTTCAGAATCCGCATGCTTGAAATATACACATACTCAACAAACAGGGCAATCGGTTCAGGGGTTAAAAAGTTAAGGGAAAGTCCTATTTGACAAAATGAAGCATGGTTTTTCTGCCCAAAACCAGTTCCACAGAGTCTTCTATCCTGGAGATAATTGGGAAGTAATCCAATTATCTCCAAGGACAGAGGCAAAACTCCATTAGCCACATGGTAGCAAAATACAATAAAATACATAAAAATATATAACTGTGCAGCGATTGCATAGCCTAGATCTGAGCTCAAATTATTACTGAATGGCGCTCAGATCACATACATACAGTTCAATTGCCATGGAGCCAAAGTCTTTCACATAGTCTTTCGTTATACGAATGGGCTCCATGGCATAGCTATCTGGGGTAACACTGCTCACATAGGGAAAGTACCGAATGACCCGGCTTTCGGGTCTTTGCAGGGGAAAATCAAGCATTTCAACATGGGGCCATAGTCACAGGGCAGGAGGCTGGCAATCAGTCTTCTCCAATGCCCAGTGGCGAGGCTGGTTCCGCCACAAAGGTACTGGCATTGAATCAATTCAACATACTGACATTTTATAGAGGCATCCTAATTCTCATAACAGCTCAATATTGTGGTTAAGGTGGAAATAGTCTATGGGCGCCACCCCCTTTGATGTTGTTTTTTATCATGAGCTGTTATGGAAGGCTCTTCCTGGCACCATTAGACTGCAGTCTATTCAGCCACTTTCATAATGTGGTGTTTACACGTGTAGGTAATAAATATCCACTCCGTACAACATGAATAACAATGAAGTGCTCAGAGCTAACCAGAGAGCTGCTTTAATTCAAGTGATCGAACAGTGTACATGAACTTTTGAGTCACTGACACATATACTCAGCTCGTGCTCAAACCTGAAGAGTCCCACCACTCAATCCCAACACAGGAAAGAAAAATCTATCAGTCTTTACCACTACCAACAGTTTGCTGTCTGGGATATGGCAACCCAAACCTTGTGTGACGCAGCCCCTGTACTCCTGTCGATCTACACAAAACAGGTTACAAGGGATTGAACAATAATTTCTACCTGATTGAGGATTAATCAGCAACTGAGCATGAAATATCCTGGATTTTCTGCAATATCAATACTTCCAGCCTGTGTTTTCACTGTGTCTGGTACTTTGTATTGTGAGGAACTTTGTTATATAATGAATGAGTTGAAATTGTGCTTTTGCACTGTAGCGGAGCTGCAATATTAAATCCCAAGATCTCCGCTGGTACAGAAAGTAATCCAAAGTAAAGCGCTGGAAAAGAAGGCAATATCCCAAATCCCCCAGTAACCGGACGAAACACAGTTCTGGGAGTCAACTGACAAATTTATTCACAACTCCAGTATTTATGTGATTCCCCATGCAAGGGGTTTCCTTAGTCACTTTACAGGGGTATTACAGTAGAGGACTACATGGGGAACTGAATATACAGAGCATTTCTCCCACCATGCACTGCTGTACGTGAGGGATACTCCC